CTGTTATAATATTGTCTGATTCTTAAAACATGAGTTTCTTTTGTTAACCAGAAGGTTAATTATGAATTTCTTTCTCCCTTCCTTGCTGGAGCTCCTTAGTTGGTGTCTCTCACTTTTTCCTCGTTTCCTCCCTGCTCCCCAACTTCTGCCTGAATGCCAGGCTCCAGGCTGGGCCCTGGGAGTTGGTGGTGGAGAACACAGGCCTGGTCCTGACCCTGTTTAGCTTGCAGTCCAGTGGGGAAGACATAGGCATTTAAAATTCTAGTGTGATAAACTCTACGTCAAGGAAATGCAGGATGCATTCGGGGTCCATCGGCAGGGACTCTAACCTGTGGGACCAGTTTTCAAGTTGAGATCTGAATGGTGAGGATGAATTAGTGGAGTGGTATCAATGGGTGAGTTCCTTGATAGGAAATACACATTTGGTCTTTGTCCCCCTTTCCCTGCACAGAGCGCCTAAAAAACCCTTGGAATTTCCTGAGTGATGAGGTGATGGGAGCATCTCTTGTTATCAGTAACAAGCCCCTATCAGCCATACCTGAATTTATGCTGCTGAAGTGGTGCGGGGTGGGCCCCAGGCAGCTTCAGTATGACGCTGGCCGCCAGAGGAGCCAGCCCTGTGATTGGAGGGTTTGAACTCTCAGTCCCGCCCGTTAGGACTGGAACCACTGGGTAACCAAACGGTGAATATGAGGAAGTGTCTCTTTATAAAAGTATATCAGCCAGTAACTGAAGGTGGATGACAAAATTAGAATATCAGCATTTTGCAGTTTCTTTTTAAAAAAAAAAATTTTTTTTTGGAGAGAGGGAAAGGGAAGGAGAAAGGGAGGAAAAGAAACACCAATATGTGAAAGAAATATCGATCAGTTGCCTCTTGCATGCATGTCAGCTGGGGACTGGCCTGCAACCCAGGCCTGTGTCGTGATTGGGAATCGAACCAGCAACCTTCTGCTTTGCAGGACAGCACCCAGCTGAGTCACACCAGCCACGGTGTATTTTGCAATTTCTAATGGGTTGAGTATTGATTATCATTTCTTTTTACCTGTGGACCTTTAAAATCTTTTATTTAACCCCAAAATGTATTCACAGGTAATTCTTTAGTTAATTACATGTGTGTTCAAGTTCTAATGGAAGTTCTAGGCAGGGATTTATAATGGTTGAATTAATACGCAGGTAGTACTCTGACCTACTCGGAGTCATTACTGAGAAATTGCATGCTCCAAATTACCTGTCTGTAAAACAGATAACAGGTACCTACCTCCTGGAGTTTCTCACTTATTATAAGGGTTTCTGCTTATTAAATCAAGTGCTAGGTATTTATTACAATGGTTTGGGAACCGTGACCCAGCAGCTCAGAGAATGCGGTCAGAGGTGCCCAGGGTGCTTTGGTCTGCGCCTGGGGGAAGCAGACGGGCGCCCTAGCCCTCCGCTTGCCCTCTGCCCAGCTCGCTCTGGTGAAGCTGCCTGAACGTCAGCGGACAGTCCTGTTGGCACTGGTGTTTTCCTCTAGTAGGTGATTTGTGTGACTTACCCATTTCTGAATGTCATAGACCAAGAATGTTGAAGGAAAACTGTCTTGCCTCATGGTGTTCTAACAGTTGTAATCAGGGACCTTCCAGAGGCATGGTCTGTAGTGGGACCGCGGCCGGGGGGGGGGGGGGTTTCAACTGCAGTTCCTCACGTGTGGAATTTACTTCCTCTCCGTGGCTTATGCACATCCATCTTACCTTCCATCCTGTGCTAGCTTGGTTCTAGTTCTTCATTTTATGGAAGTTTTTCCTTCATTGGTATATAGCTTTTAAAAGCACAGTACTTTGGATTAATCAAGAAGAACACAGTCAATAATATAGTTTTTAAAAGTGATTAAACTGTAAACATTTCTACTTAGAGCTTCCTAGAGAGTTCCTCTGCAGGCCGTCATTTGCAGAGTGCTCCGGGGGGGCCCCGAGGAAGTCTGCGCCCGGGAGCGGAGGCCCCTGCAGTGTCGAGCACGTGGGTCGGGCCGGTCAGTGAGAGGCAGGGCTAAGCGTGGCATCCCTGTTATCTTTACCACGGGTGTGGCTTCCCATGCCTACCTAATGACTCACAGAGGGCGGTTTTATGAGTCAGATCCAACTTTACAATAAATAGGTGGTGTGGGATGGTTCAAAGTTGTGGAAGAAAAGAGAGGAAAAAATAATTTAATATATGCCTGCTATGTGGAGTTGGGAGGAGAGCCCCAGAAGCATGAACCGTCTTAGCTGACAACGACAGACTTCAGTCCTTGCTCAGGTTAGGCTGTTTTTAAGTGTTCAAAGTTAACCTCGTTGAGGCAAAACAGTGTGGTATCCTGGAAAGCGCAGGGATTTATACTCAGTGCCCTGAAGCTGGAGTCTGGCCCTGCCACTCTCCCCCTTCGTGTGCTTGGGCATGTCACTGTCCTCGTCCGTGACAAGGAGCTCGTCCACTTCCCTCAGAGGTGTTGTGACGACCGGATGAAATCATCTGTAGGGATCAGACCTTGGATACGCTTGAAGGTGACACACCCTTATCCTGTGCCATCAAAGGAGAGCCTTTGCCCGTGAAAGCCAGTTTTCTGGTGCGCGATGCAGCCGAAGTTCAGGGATGTTAAAATACAGTGGACAAACTGCATTTTAAAAATAAATAAAATACAGTGGATACGAAAGTGCTTTGCTATAATAAGCGCCAGGAATCGTATTTAATTTTTATTGTGTGAGTCAGGGGAGGAAAAACAAAGCTAAAAGCATAAATACCAGTGCGGATGCCCAGGCAGAGCTGGATGTGAGGACAGGGGGCTGCAGGGAGAAGGGGAAGAAGGGGCCTGCCGGGGCCTCCTGCCTTCCTCGGAGGCTGGCCCTCAGGCCTCGCTCAGTCTAGTCTGGGAATGTGTGCGGTGTCCACAGCCAAGGAATCCTTCCTGTCTGTGAACCGTCACTTCCCCGCAGGTTGGATTTTGTAGGGATCACCAAGTCACTCTGTGTTCAGTGTGGATTTTCCTGTGTTAGGTATTTGTTGGTTTAGAACTTGCAGGTGCTTAACAACCCCTTGGTCTGACTACAGCGTATTGTTTGTGAGCAGGGTGGGCCTGCTGGTGGTGACGCGTGTTTCAGCGCTGCGGTCACAAATAGACCTTTTGTTACTGAAAAGGAGCTGGGTCCTGTTTGCAGTGGATTTTAGGCGGCTCTGCTCTTCACTGAAGTCATTTTATAGTCAAGAATGTCTTGCTCGCGTGGGAGTGGGGATTGGTTTTTCTTTTCTTTAGGTATTATAGTTTCACTGAAGAAAAACCGTGGCATCATTCATTAACTTGTCTCCGTGCCTTCCCCATGGGATATTTGAACACGTAATTAGCTGTAGATGAGGATTTTAAGGAAAAGTTTATTTCTGAACTCATTGTGATAATCATTTCACAATATATACCTGTATCAAATCATCACCTCATATGCCTTAAACTGACATCATGTTATATGTCAGTTATAACTCAATAAATCTGGGAGGAAATATTTATTTCTTCATAAAACACCCGTAGGTGAGACTTAACAGTTTGCTCTGAAGAAAATCTCAGCACAGCGCCAGTTGGATAGGACGTTTTCCAGAGGACTCCTCACAGAAAGTGTGACGCGGAGGTCTTTGTGCTCTAGGGAGGGTTACACACTTTTACCACAAAGGGTCAAATAGTAAAATATTTTAGTCTGTGACTCACATGCAGTGTCTGTTGCATGTTGTTTTGTTTTGCTTTATTTTGAAAACAGCCCTTTAAAGATGTAAAAATCATTCTTAGCTGCCCCCTGCCCCCCGCCGCTGCTGTGCAAACAGAGGTCACAGGCAGGGTTTGCAGACCTGCTCTGGTGGAGCAGCCCCGGATTATGACCAAGGCTCCTCGGAGAAGCGGCCGATCCCACAGCCGGAGGGAGGAGGATGGGAGAGGGCCCGGAGCCAACTGTAGTGCCGGCTCGGGAGGGCGTGTTGGAGGGTGGGGCCTGTCCTAAAGGCCCCGTGGTCCGCTGGGAAGAGACCCCGGGCCAAAGCTGCAACCACTTGAGCAACAAAATAATGATAATACTGGATCATAACCCCAAGAATGTAAAATATCTGTGAGTCCATAACTATGTGAGGGAGGAGGATCAAATCTTACTTACAGAAGAATTACAAATAACGAATGTAGAAGGAATGGGGTAGCTTTCACATATGCCTGCAGATCTGTGATGTCCCTCAGGATGTCCCCTGTGAGTGTGCACTGGGCTTTGGGACCCACTGTTAAGGAGTAGAAGTACGTAAGGGTTTCACAGTGGTGGAACCTGGCAGAAACCACCGGGGCTGAGTGAGCAAGGGTCACATGCCCAGGAGTAAACCATGCCCACGGTGTGCCCTTGATTTGATGTGACGAGAAGAGCCATTCCTTCTGTGCCGTTCTAGATCTTCTGGCACATCTACAACCTCAGTGCAGTCGTGAGGCAACCTGAAGGGAAGACCTTTTACACAGAAACTGCCCAGTTCTCTTCAGAAGTGTCCAAGTTAGGAAACACAAAGAAAGACTGAGAAGCATCAGGGATTGGAGAAGAGTAAGGGGACGTGATGACCAAATGCAATGTCTGTCGCCTGGATTGAACCTGGAACAGCAAAAGAACATTAATGGGAAACTGGGAAAATCCGAATAAAGGCTGAAGTTCAGTTAGCGGCGGTGTCCCTATGCCACTGTTGTGGCTCCGATAAATATATCGCGGAAACGCAAGCTGTTAATGTTAGTGGAGGCAGGTGGAGGGTAATGGCGTCTCTGGATTGTCTCTGGAACTGTTCTGTAAATCTAAGATTGTTTCAAAATAAGATTTTTTAAAGCCCTAACTTCTTATCCTGGATTGCTGAGTTTCAGCTTGAGCTTTTTAAGCATTATTTTATTAACTCCTGGTCCCATTTACATTTGGTGGAAAATATATTGATTTGTGTATTAAAGCTGATTTTGGAATGTCCATGTTGTTAACATTACTTATTTCTCTTTTCAGGGGAGTCACCTGCTGCAGAAGTTTCCTCATCTTTTGTGATCCTATCTGTGTGCACTTTTATCATATTAATTGTGTTAATTGCAAATTGTGTATCCTGCTGTAAGGACCCAGAAATAGACTTTAAGGTGAGCACAGATGGTAGGAACGTTTAAAATCATCCTCTTGACACATTTATCAATAGAATGGGTAAATGCCATAGTCCCTTGGGAGCAGGGGTTGGCAAACTTCTCTAAGACCCAGATAATAGGTATATTCTGCCACTGTAAATAGTAAATAACATGGGCCGTGCCGTGTCTTGTCACAGCTACTCAACTCTGGACTTGGCCATAGTAGTTCTAATGTCAGCCATAGACAACACAGAAGCAGGTGGTTGTGGCTGTGTGCCAATAAAACTTTATTTACAAAAATAGAGGGTTTGGATTTGGCCTGCTAAGCTGCAGTTTGCTCACCCTGCCTTCGAGCACCACTGACAATTCTGTTTTGAAAGGGAAGAATAAAGTGTGATGATTGGATCCGCTTGCTCCAAGGCCTGTAAGGAAGAGCAGGCTGGTTTCGACTTTCTTCCAAACCTCCGTGTGCTGCTGAGTCTGTGGTTGTCAAGGCTTTTGGGGCCAAGGGATCCCCCAGTGTGTGCTGGGTGTGAGGAAACCATCTTTCAGTTTACTTTGAACCCTACAGTTCCCTACGGGGGAGAAAGAAGAATGCGGCCTACTGTAAAGGCCGGCGCGGCGGGGGCGGGCGGGGGCGGGCGGGGCTTGCGCACTGTAGAAGGGCCAGTGTGGCCACGGAGGGGTGGGACCTGCTGGGAAAGCCGGAGCCTCCTGCCCTAGAACTCCCTCTGGCCCTCCTGCGAGTACGGGGGCCAGTGGATACTTGCGAGGAAGGAACGCAGGCGTGCAGAGAACGGGGTCCTTTATGTGAAGGCCCGTGGGCTGTGCTGGGGCTCTCCGGGGCCTGAGGGCCGCCGGGCCAACCTGGGGGAAACAGTCCGCTGTCTTCTAGCTAAAACCTTCTTTTGAGTGGATATGTGAGCCTTATTCCTAGAACCTCACCCCTGTTTCCATCCTGTGTCCTCTCTACCTTCAGCGTGGTGGCAGCTCTGAGAGGTAAGGACGCATGCTGTCCTTTCGGCTCCGTGTTAGCAGTGCACACACAGAAGGTTGAGAACAGAGGAAGGCCAGAGGAGAAGGCTCAGTAGCACGGTCACGTTCTTGACAAGATTCTACCCCAAGTGCATAGGCCTTACGCACAGTGGCAGCCCCGGGCCCTAGAGTCACGGCTGGCGCCTCTGCGGGCCGTGCTGACCATGCCACGTGGAGGCGCAGTCGTGGGCGGAGAACCTGGGTCCCTTGACTGCCAGTCTTGCCGGAGGACTTTGCCCAGACCCCTAGCCATCTGGGGGCAACCTCTAGCCAGTGTTGCGGAGGCTGAAGTCCAGTCCCTGTCTCACACGCTGTAATGGCTCATTTTTGCCTTTAATTGTGACTGCACTGGACCACAGTATCGATGGTGCAGATTCAGAGAATGAAGATTTTTATCAGTTTTCCCCAGGCAATTCTGGTGCAGGTGACCCGGGGGTCACACCTATGGAGGATCCTCTCCACCTCTACCAACTATCTGACAGGGGAAGCGTATTGACATCTGTAATTTGTGGGTTTCCTTTAGGTTGAGAACTGAGTAGTTTCAGACGTGAATGGTCCCCTGGAAGTCCACTTATGGACTAAGCAGGAATTTGCAGTCTGGTCACGTAAGTGACTTGCCGCAGGCACCCCAGTAGCCACCGACGTAACTTTAAAAGGGACCCAGTCTTCTTTCACGTCTCCATTTCAAAAACCTGTGTCGTATTCCCTCCTCGAACCTTTAGAGTCACCTGCTGCCACAGGCCTGTCATGCCGCGGCCTGTCTGGAGTGGCATTATTTCTCAGGTAGGAGTGATTTTTAGGTAGGCGTTTTTTAACGGGAGAGCCTTTAGGACTGTCCAGAGGAAAAGTAGGGCACAGCCCTTCTGTTTGGAGGCGCCCTCACAGCTTGAAGTCACAGCACCTCACTTGTTTTGCTCCCCCTCCCCTGTTACAATGAGCAAGAATGTCCTAATGCATTCGACCGCATAATATGACATGTGTGAAATAATGTCCCCTCACGTGCATGTGAGAATGTAAATGTTACATCAGAGAGAGCTACCCTGACAACTTTTCGTTTTCTCCCTTGTCGGGGGACGGGGGCTGAGGGAGGTGGTAGAAAAGGAAAATGGAAAGAAGGGTGCTCCGCAGAGGACGGAAGGCAGCCTTGGCCACTGAGCTGTTCGCAGCTCGGCTTCGGTCCTGGCGGGGTAGCACGCGCTCGTGACCTGGGCGAATGGATGACCCTGCCGGTCCCCCGCATCTGTGGCAGCATGGGCACCAGGGTGGACCGGGCTCGCGGGCGGGAGCAGGCAGGGGAGCTCTCTGCCGAACAGAGGCGCGCAGCAGGTGTCTGCAGCTCGGCTGGCGCAGCCTCGATTTTCAAGTTGCCATCTTTTGAAAACCAGGTTCTTAGAATGTTAACTGCACTTGTGTGCTACACAGTTGTTTACCCTTCGTGGTTCAGCCCTTAGATGATTTTCTATCTGGTTTAAGGAATTTTTTTATTCTACTCTTTTCAGAGAAGTAGGACTTGCTTACAAATACCTCTTCTGAGTCTTAATTTTCTGGTTTTGATTGAAATCACAATGCAACAAGAAATGCATAAACAATTTTAAAGTAAATTTGTTTTGATTTAATATGCAAAGAGATCTATGAAGACAAATAATAATAATATAAAAAAACAGCTTAGACTATAATAACTTAAAAGTAAAATTTTGAACCTAGAAGAGTATTTTCATTTTAATTCCATGGTCATTATAGAAAATTTTACATTTAACTTCAAGCTCTCAGTTTAAAAAGTTACATAAAATGTGTATAATTTATTTTCAGATCTCATTTATTCTGCTATTTGGAGTTAGAGAACACAATTACATATGCTTTTACTTAAAATAAGTATGATTTGGGAAAAAAAGTTATGGCCGTGTGTTCCAAATGAGTGAATAAGTGTTCATGTCTTAAATGTTAGCCAGTGTATTTTTAGGATTTGCTCTCAAACTGATCTGTGTTAGATATAACATTGCTCTTCTTTTATTTTAGGAATTTGAAGATAATTTTGATGACGAGATAGATTTCACACCACCAGCAGAAGATACTCCCTCTGTCCAGTCCCCAGCAGAAGTGTTCACACTTTCCGTACCAAGTGTCTCGTTACCAGCTCCGTCGCAGTTCCAGCCTGCCGCAGCGGGTAAGAGCTGTCCTGATGTCCTGTTTCCCTGAGCCATTCGTGGGAAGGGAGACTGGGAACCTCGCTGCTAATCATAAAACAGTTGGACTCACCGTCTCCTCTGGGCGCTTATTTCCCTCCCTTTTGCTCCCTGCTGAGGCCGAGTGGTCAGGCCCAGTGCATCCCCGCAAAAGCCAGGTCCCTTCCTTTCGGACTCTGCGTCTGTTGTACGAGTGAACTGGCCTCTGCTGTGCGTTCAGATGGACGTTCTGGACAGGGCCCCTGCCGCTGCTTCAGGGGGCGCGGCTCTCCTTGCTCCCTGCGCTGGCCGTCCTGCGGGCTAGACACGACCATCTTCTGTGATGTCTTGTGTTTGGGAGGAGGGCCCTGTTTGGATTTGTGGATCAGATGGGCTTTTCCTCTGAAGATGGGGGGGGGGCAGTCCCTGGGGTTCCCTGCTCCACCAGAAACCAGGACTATTGAAGGTCAGTGGGGTGGTGACCAGAGGTGACAGTGGAGTAGTTGGATCAGGAAAAAACAGTGCAAGTTAGTAAAGAACCAGGGTGGGATACGCACCCAAAATTATTGTCAGTTTTAAAACTTGGAACCGTTTTGTCACTGTTGGTTTGAAAGAGATGTTTTATGTATTTATTTCTCCCTTTATTAAGCACAAGCATTAAATTTATTTTGGTGCTTGTATTTTATAGGTTGTATGTTTAATATTTAATTTATTTCAGGTAAATACTTATTTTTAGTTTTTAATATTTTTTTCTTTTTCCTGCAGAAGGTTTGAAGTCTCAAGTTGCTCGCCACAGTCTAAACTATATTCAGGAAATTGGAAATGGCTGGTTTGGAAAGGTAAAGTGTTGTTCACTTTTTTTTTTCCTTCTACTTACATTGTTAGAATTGAAAGCTAATTAATTGTATTGTGTGGCGTTCCACGCTCTCTGTAGGCTGTATAGTCCCGATTGAATTTCCCCACTGCTCTCTGAAGCCTCGTGGGGGTGTGAGCGTCAGTGTTCTTGGGTGGTAAGTTGGTCAAGGAGGTCTTCTTTTATGTGTTGGAGACTTTTCTAATTGCTGGCGTAAAAAGGGAATAAAGGAAAAAGACACTGGTATCTTAGAAGCTTTTTAGCCTCCTCAAGTTAAATTATTACTTTTTTTCTTCTCCTCTTTTCCTTACGAGATTTTATCCATGTAGATAGGAAGTATTATTATGATGGGGAGCATTGCAAAGAATTGTTCTCTGTTTCTCGCAGCCTGTCTGGCGACCTATAGTAATAGCACTTTGTCGATCGTTCCCCGAGTGTTCAGAAGGGGTAATTGTCTCTGACACCTGTCTCCGTGATACAGCAGCCGTCTGTGGGAGTCCCTCACTGAACCGCGAGCGCGCCGGCGCGGGGCGGTCACGGCGGGAGGACGGGTGTGCTCTGCGGTCGGCCAGCTTACGCTTCCTGTCTCCCCACTAGAGTTGTCTGTCAGGCCTGCATCTTCCACGCCATCCAAATGTCATTGCTAACCACACCCTCAGCCCGTCAGCAAAACCTTGGCTGCATCACATGTCCTCAGTGCTGGGGCACAACGTGGAGCAGGAGGGCTGGCGTCCTGGCTGGGGAGCGCTGGCGATGGAGCAGCAGGCCAGGTGGAGCAGCCTTGCCCGGACACTGCTGACCGCTGCGGTGTGTGGGGCGGCCGGGGGCCAGCAGCCGTCGGAGACGGCTGAGGGGTGTCGAGAGCCGGGCGCTGTGAGCTAGGCGTGCGTCTAGAGACTGACTCCTGCTGGGGGGGGCACCCCAGTCTTGAGAGATGCGGGGCATGACCTGGTCACCTTGGGCGAGGGCCCCTGGCGGTTAGGTGGAGAGGGGGCCAAGCAGGGGCGCTGTGCCGAGGCCGCAGTGGCTGCTCGGGGAGTGGGGAGAAGTGGGGCGACCCAGAGAGATTTTCAAATAAGAGTAGGTAGGGCTTAGGGTGGACCAGCTGTGGAGTCCAGAGACAGAGGGAGTCAAGGATGACTACACATGGCCTGATGGAGGGGCAGGGTGTCGTTGGTCTGAAGTGACAGAGACTAGGGAGAAGCAGGCATGGAGGAGGGACCGGTCAGGAGGTCGCCTCTGGATGTGCAGTGTGAGAGCCTTAGACGTCCAGGTGCAGATGGCAGGTGGGCAGCTGGAAATGCTAACCTGCAGTTCAGGAGAGAGGTTCCAGACGGGAGACAGGAACTGGGGAGAGCTCCGTGTATGGCTGGCGTTTAAAGGTGCGAGCCTAGATGAACTCACGGAGAATGGGGACGCGGGGACGGGGATGGCGGGGCGCAGGGGCTGAGCCCGTGGGCTCAGCAGCACGGACGGGAGCCTGGGGAGAATGAGCCTGTGCGCAGGAAGAGCCGCAGCCGGCGGGAGGAGTCCGGGGCGGGGACGCGGGGTGAGGGCCGCCAACAGCACGTGAGGTGCCCGTGAGGTGCGCGTGGGAGAGCGGGTCCGCCACAGGGGTCCGTGCCATCCTCGCAAGGAGGGCGTTCGGGGAGAAGGTGGAGCCAGCACATTCAGGCACCTCTGTTGAGGAGCTTTACTCTGAAAGAGTGGAGAAAGGGAGCGGGAGCCGTTCGGGACCAACCAGGATGGCAGAAAAGTGGTGTCATTAAGGGATTCCGAGGCCAAGGTGCGCACTTGTTGGATGAGACTGTGGAGCGGGCTGGGAGCAGGCTGGAAACGAGAGGGCTGACGGAGAGGAAGTTAAAATTCAGGGCTTGGGGCATAATACAGTTATCAGGTAGGTCTAGACCCATGGAAGTGTTCGCTGAGATGGGGTCCTAGAAAAAGATGATTGGAAGTGAGGTCATGGGACTGAGAGGTCACGGTGTTGAAGGACTTGTCCCTGCATCTGTTGAACACCCAGAATGGTCAGGTGGCGGCAGGGAGAGAGAAACAAGGCGCCAGTTACTGCAGTAGTCCAGTGTTGTTCTTCTCCTTGTTTGAAGCTGGTATCTTATGAGTGTTAGGCTTATTATGTTGGCACAGGTTAGCTCTTTGAAACAAAGAATATGACTTTGTTAATTCTTAGAATTTCTTGCTCTGTTCATTTTTCTGCCATTATCATCCTAATAAATACATTAAGTTCTGTTTAAGTTTATACTCTATTTCCAGGGCATTAAAATGAATCTGTTTTATAAAAAGATAAAAAACTATTTTAAAAGGAAGCCTTTAGTTTTGATCATTCTCAAAGACTTTTACTTCATCATCATTTTTGTTTTACATACTGTATTTTGGAATGCCTTTACATTGTCCTATATTGTATTTAATATCTCACGTGTAACTTGTACTTATTTTCATTTTGTGTTGTGTTAATTTCAGTGCGCTATTATCCCCCCCCCCCCCCCGAGTTTTCACTAAGGTTTGAGTACAAGATAAAGGCCTGGAATAATTGGAATACCATGGATTTTTAGCATTATAATGCAATGATACCTTGTTTGCACCTTGGCTATTTGTCAGTTTACTTTCATGTGTGAAGGAGACAAAACTCAGCTGAAGTCTTTTTGAGAAACATTTAAGTTATGTTTGAACTGAACTTATAAATTACTCTTCTGTAATGCCATTAGTACTTTCCATGAAAGTATGATATACTGTTAAGTACATAGAAAAGAAATACATTTAAGTACATGAATGTTGGAAATTTCTGATGACTGGTTTAAAATTGAAGGTAGTATTTTGCTTTCCCACCCTTTTCTGAGGTAGTATTTAAAATAATAGAAGGCCACCGACTTGTTGTTAATTCATTTTCCTGTTTGCCACTTCCTGATAAGGGAGGCCCACTTCTTTACCATCTGATGGGAGTGAAGTGAAAAACTGTTCTTTGGTTTTAGGTCCTCCTCGGAGAGATTTACACAGGTACCAGTGTCGCCCGCGTCATAGTGAAGGAGTTAAAAGCAAGTGCGAGCCCGAAGGAACAAGATACTTTTTTGAAGAATGGAGAACCTTACTAGTAAGTAATCTTTAATATATGTTCTGTAAACATAGACTATGGTCTTTTGAAAATTGCTGTGTTTAAAAATACTTAGGAATTGTGTTGTAAGGTATATAAATGTCAGGTCACTATATTGTATACCCGAAACTAATAAAATGTTGTTTACCAACTGTACTTAAATTAAAAAAAGAAACGTAAGTTGAAAGGGGGCTGCAGAACATGAGCGCTCCCGGCCAGGAGAGTGATGGCACGGTCCTCCCGAAGGTTCGGAAGTAGGACGCGATTGTCAGGGTTCTTGGCAACAAATTGTGATCCTCAGGGAGAATGAAAGATGGAGACATGTCAGCCAGCAAGACACAGGGGACCCAGAGGAACCCCGGCCGTCACAGGAGGCACCTTCTGGTCCTGCTCATTTCACGGCACACCATTCTGTGCGCCTGTCGTGGGTAATAGTGATGGGAATGAACTCATTTAGGAAATTTCTGTCTCGGTATGGACAGATTGCAAAACTTCATCCAAGAAACAATATTTTAAATCCGTCACTTAAAATCACAGTGTTGTTAGACCTAAGAGTATCTCATCAACCAAATAAGTCTGGCTTTGGAAAAAACCAAAATATTTCTTAAACCCCTAAAAAGCCTAACTTTGAAATTTCTGCCTGCAAAATACACAATTTAAATAAGGTTCAGAGTTTCATAACCTAAGACTCAAAATGAAAATGTCCCTCAGTAGGTGCGTGGTTAAACAAACCATTACAGGCAACCACTTCGATAATCATCAGGGCATTGTGTTGAGTGAGAAAAAAAAAAATCAATGTTCAAAGGCCACATACTGTGTCACCATTTACATCATAATTTCAAACCGAGACCGTTATAGAAATGGAAAACAGATCAGCAGGTGCCAGAGTTTAGGAATGTGGTGTAGGGGGTGTGGGCGGTGGCTGGGACTCCGCGGAAGGAGCCTGGGGGCCCTTGTGTGCTGACGGAGCGCTTCTGCGTGTCTGTTGCCGTTGTGGCTGTGCGACTCTATGCGTGTGAGACACAACAGGACACAGAAGTGTGCGCACGCGTGCCCGTGTCAGTGCCCTGGCTTTGGTGTTGCACTGTAACTGTCAGGTGTAACCTGGGGACACTGAGGGAAGGGACCGCGGGGCCTCTTTATGCTATCTGTGTAACTTCCTGTTAATTCATAATTGCTTCAAAATAATAACCTCCTTAAAAATTAGTTTCGGTATATCTTTGTTTTTTAACTTTCTTTTGGACAAAATATTTTTCCAAAAAGAGACTGTATATGTTATGAAAATTTACGGAAATAGTATGTAAGCTAGATAGCCTGAGGAGTAGCTGGGTTATTTATTTAATACATGGATTGCAATGCTTGTTACATTTGTGTATTTAGCCTGCCTTTTTACTTTTTTAAAGATGTTATTTATTTACTTTTAGAGAGGGGAAGGGAGGGAGAAAGAGAAGGAGAGGGACATCAATGTGTGGTTGCCTCAAGCGTGCCCCCTACTGGGCACCTCGCCCGCAACCCAGGCATGTGCCCTGACTGGGAATCGAACCGGCAACCCTTTGGTTCGCAGGCCGGCACTCAGTCCACTGAGCCACACCAGCCACGGCTGCCTTTTTAAAAATGATGCTTCAAAGAGGTAATCTATAAATTTAAATTACTAAAATCAGAGGTTCTTCTGATAGTTCTGTTTTGATTTTTTAAAATGTTCACCTGATTGGCTTTGAATTGTTTAATCATTAGATAACAATAAATCTGTTAATATGCTCTTTTCAGCCTAGCATATTTACAGCTTTATGAATGTTAGAATTTGGTTTACCGTTGGAACAGGTTTCCTTCCTAGCGTGCCCCCTCTGACGGTCAGCACTGTGGCTCTCTTTCTCCCCAGCGTTCTTCAGCATCCAAATGTTCTGCAGTGCATTGGGCAGTGCGTGGAGGCAATTCCCTATCTTCTGGTGTTTGAGTTCTGTGACCTGGTAAGTTCTGAGCAGAAATTTAAGGTCAAGCCTTCAGAAGGTCATACCCAAGTGCTTTGGACAGAAGTGCTGGGTGAGGGACTGCCTTCACTTCTGTCCCCCATTTTAGGGACTTTATGAAGTGTGTATGCGTTACCTTTGGTATTAGTATCAGTGTTGTTTTATGTTTCACCCCTGTGCGAAGCTATTTTCACGCGCTACTGCATGCAGTCACATGTCTCCCCACTTTATGTATGAGCCAAATAAGACCCATGGAGATTAAGAAAATGTCTGCCAAGTGTGTGGCAGCCCCAGAGCGTGGATCTGGGCTGGCCCTCCCTGAGAACGTGGGGTCTGGCTTCAGCGAGGCATTCGCGACACTTCTCCCAGCTGAGGGAGGGAGCCCAAGACTCTCATAGCCGACAGAGGACCCATGACTTGTCAGTTTTTAAAAATAGTGAATGGATGTAACATTTTGTTTTTAAATAATTAGATGATTTATTTTCTTATGTGAAAATTTCCTGTAAACATCTCTTATTAAATTTAGGTTTTGATTGATTTCCTTGCATTATCTCAGTTTTCAGAGCATTGAGCACCCTTGACCATGTGCAGAAAAGTGGGGAGGACACCAAAATCAATCCCCAATTAATTCAGAGACTATTTCTCCGCTGGTAAAATTGAAAGAGAGCAGTAAACATTGTGAATTTTTGTTTTAATTCCTCAGTATCATTTGAATATTACTCTCATTGGCAGAGGTAGTTAATTCCAAAGAAAAGTTCTTATTGAACTCAATATATTAGCTTTCATTGGATTATGATATAGTAACCAGCCAAATCTCAGAGGTTAATGGGAGCAAAGTGGCTCTCCCTCATCTCGCACATTAACGTGGCTCAGGGCAGCTGCAGCTCAGTTCTAGGCTACATTTTACTCATTTTTGCCCTAGGATCAGTGTTTCCTTGTGTCTTTAGATGCTGGGAGGGGGCGGGGACCAGAGAATGTATGTTCTGGTGCTTTACACAGTGTATCTCTGTGGCTTTTAATGGTCAAGTTTATAAGGTTGTTCATAAAACAGTAATCGCTTCTCAAAAAATTAAAATAGAATTACCACAGGATCTAGCCATTTCACTTCCAGGTACATAGAATAGAAAGCAAGATCTTAAAGAGATTTTTGTGCACCATGTTCACGGCGGCATTATTCACAATAGCCGAGAGGTAGAAGTAACCCTGGTGTCCACGAACTGATGAATAATGGACAAAACTGGGTGTATCCATACAATGGGATACTGTTCTACTGTGCTAAGGAAATAAGCCAAGTCACAAAAAGACAAATGCTGGGTGATTCCACTTCTGTGAGCTTTCTACAGCGGTCAGACTCACAGAGGCAGAAAGTGGGAGGGCGCTTGCCAAGGGCCAGGGGCGGGGGACTGGGAGTGGGAGTGGAGTGGATGTGGGAAGAGGAAGAGAGTTCTGTTGGGTGGATGGCGGTAACCGTGGTGGCACAGTGGTGTGAATGTACACAGTGCCTTTGAACTGTACACTTAGAAATGGTTAAGATAATTTTATGTTACACATTTTACCACAATTTTCAAAACATTGATAATTACCTACTATTATTTAAAGTGTCGTAGCAGGTGTTACTTCTATTAGGAGGAAGCTAGAAATTCCCAGATTTCCTTAGGAAATCTGTCTGTCAGTGTTTGGAATAGCTAGTCTCCTGTCAGAGTCAAGGCCTTTAATCCAGGGCCCCCGCCACCATGCCCCGCCACCATGTGGGGAGGGGTCACGCTTGCCTTCTCGGGCAGTTTCGCGCTCATCCCACGGCCCCCCACCCCCGCCCCGTCTACTTCAGAAGCCCTCCTGCGGCGAGGACGGGGCCTCGGCCGCTCCCCAGCCCCAGGGCCCGGCCCTCCGGGCTCAGTGTGTGCAGAGACTGCCTGTCCGGAGCGGGTGGGCAGGGTCAGCCCCCTGAGCCAGAGGGCCTGCCTGAGAGGAGGGGCGTCATCCAAGGCAAAGCCTCCGGCTTGCAAGGGTCCGGAGGACAGAGGGCAGTGCCCCGGCTCGGGAATATGCAGCCACAGCCACGGTGAAAGGAGCCACTATCATCACGTGCTCTTAGTAGGTCAGGAGCTATTGAATGAACATTGGCCTTTTCAGTTGTCCCCGGGCGGTGATCATGCTCAATGATAACATCTTTTCAGTAGAAAGGAGAGAATATTTCTGCACTTACTTAAGTAATTCCATGTAAGATAGAATTACCAGTCTGTTTTTCAAAAACACTTTGTCTTAGACTTTTTATGAAAGAAAATGAAAACTCGCGTGAGTGAGCCTGGCAGCTGTGGCCTGTGGCTGCTGATGTGTCACGCCGACGGCGCGGTGATTGTGAAAGGACGTTGTGTATGGCTTGTTGCTATAGGAGGTACACAGTGCTGTCCTGTGAACAGCAAGGCGGGAAGGTTGTTTTGGGGTAAGGATCCCTCATGCAGGGAAAGCGTGTCAAGCACCTCTGGAGTGCAGAGCGCCCCGGGGAGGAGCGCAGGGCCGCGTCGCGCTGGCCCTGCCTCCCTGCCTCCCTGCCTCCCTGCCTCCCTGCCTCCTGCCCGCAGCGCCCGCAGCCGCTCCTTCTGCCACTTCCTTGTGTGCTGGTCTCCTTGGGGCGTTGTCTGCCCTCCTTAAGCCTCAGCTCAGATGTCTGTAAAGTGGGGTACTACTGTCTGCCCCACAGACGGCTCTGACTGTTCGTAAGGAGAACTAGAATTGCTAGGCATATAGAAAGTGCTCAAGAAACAGTATTTTCTTTTATTTTTAGTTAAATTTATTGATCATAATTAATTATTGAGTAAGCGTTTGAGTAGTGTGTGTAGAAGAAATCTAACTAGAAATCCTAACTAGAATCATTGGGGAAGGCGTTGTAAAGGAAGTGTGTTTGATCTGAGTGTGGAAGAGTGAGTGATCAACTTCCTTAGCAGGAAGCGATGTCAGGAACAGCGTGAGCCAGCAGGGAGGCCTGACGGTGCCCCTGTGGAGCTCCTGGGTGGGTGCGCGTGGAGTGCCACCTGAGGAGAAGCAGGGTGGCATCTCTGGGAAGGGTCTGGTGGGTGGGAAGCATAGGCAAACAACTTTGGAGACCAGACTGCAAGCTGAGGTGGCAGGACGTAGATTAAACTCGGCTCCGCCTTAGTCGCTGTCCTTTCCCCAGGCCTGGCTACTGCCCTGCGCCTGCGGCCCTGGCCCTTGGGGGCGGGCTGTCCCAACTGCCTGTGGCCAGGCCCGGCCTGCCCTCCCCGATGCCGGCCTCCCCGCCCCCTGGGTCTCCTGACCCGCCCGCCTCGTGGCTCGGCTCTCCTGCTCCGAGGCAGGGGCCGCGCCCCGCCCCCCTCACATCGCAGGTCCTGCCGCGGGGGCGCACCCAGATGCACAGCTGGAGCCGGCGCCCGGGTGTCGCACGCAGGGGAAAGAAATGGTGTTCTCCTGAGGGTTTTTGATGTAGCTACTAGAAAATTTAGAATTACAGCGTGGCTCGCACCCTGGTTCTGTGGGACGGCTCTGCCCTGTGCTGTGCCTCCGGCGGTGCAGGGACTGCGCCCTGAGTTTCACAGCGTCCACGCCTGTCCTTGCAGTGAAGCCGACTGCACTTCCTGGTCACAAAGGTAGAACTTCAGACACTGTCCTTGGCTAGCTTTAATGTGCGAAGTAATGAAGTAACGCATGTAAAGCCCAATAAGACTTTGAAATTACAGCTTTCCTCCTAAAGTCGTTATTAGAGTGTTACATTGGAACAGGATGGGACCGCTTTAGGGGAGATAGTTGCCCTAACCTTAATTTGGCAGGGTGCCTGCTAGACTTCTCAGTGAGTTTTTTCTTTTCTGTCCCACTCATTGAGCAGTTACAGTCATCCCTCGATGCCAGTGGGGGACTGGTGTCAGGAACCCCCCCAGGTTCCAAAACTCACAGGTGCTCAGGACCTCGGTATGTAACGGTGCAGTGTTTGCATATAACCCGTGCACGTCCTCCTGTAGACGGAAATCATCTCTAGGTTACTTACACCTCATACAGCAGAAATGCCATATGTACTTGTTATACCATATAGTTTAGGGAATAGCAAGAAAAAAGTCTACATATTTCAGTTCAAATGCAGCCATTGTGGGCCCAACTACATAATACACATCAGCAACATCCTTTCATTCATCCTTTCATGCAGTTTTTTAAAAATGGTAACTCTCCCCCACCCCGCCCCAAATCATCCTATTAAACATTGGTTTTTACATTGTATTGACATTAATTCATTGTTCTCAGTATCCTGCAAAAAACCGGATAAACCCTCAAGACAGTTTATGTTGGAATTTAAGAGGATACTTGAGAGTAGCCCAATTAAAGGTCTATTATTCATGAATGACTCATTCCAGGAAGTCATTCCTAGTTGCTCTGTGGTCTGAGCTCTTAGTATAGCACTTTGCTGCCATCTAGTGCCATACGTTTTTCTTTTCAAGTTTTTTTGGGGCTTTCGGGGAGGATCTGGATAAAGGAAACTTGGATAAAGGAAATTATTTTGCAGAATACATGGCTGTTCTTAATTGTTTTCTTTTTTAATAGCAGACTAAAGAATAATCCCTGTCAACTCACTGAACATTAAAATATAATAAACAATTTAGGTACCTAAATATAGCTTTGTTTTGGATGGAATGAATAAATTTTTAGTACTTATTTGATATGGACATTTTCATTGTGACTAGAAGTTTTATGCTGATTTTTCTTTTAAGTGGAGGGCTCTTATGGGTCTTTCTAGAGCATAGATCTAACCCTGGGCCCTGCTCAGTCCGTCGCAGGCCTCACCCACGAGACGCGGCGCTCTGGCTCCCCAGTCGTCATTGGTGTTGGCCCCTCCCCCCGGGTTAGAGATGTATTTGCCCGGGGTGCTGACTTCTCTCCAGGGATGATGGGGAGAGTCTTGTGTTGTTCCCAAGCTAGAAACATTAGGAGTGTTAATGTTAGGAAGCAAAATCTTCTGTTTATTATATTTGTCCTCTAGTGACACTTGGGACGTGGAATCAGCTGTAGAGAGCAGGTACTCTAAGAGGGGCGGGTGGTGACGGATACACCTGAGGGAACCCTGAAGAACAGGCACGCCCGCTCTGCGGCTCCGCTGCCTTCCTGGCCAAAGCCACCTGTGAGGTGCTCCCGGTTTGTCGGCCGCTTCTCTTTGTTTTGAGAATTAGCCAGACACAGCGCAGCACAATCCTACTTTTGTGTGAGGGTAATTTTTACCTTAGCTGGTTTTGGAAAGGGGTTAGACAAATGAATCGCTTGCCTAATGATTTCATTGGTGATATAAATAAATTAACCGTTTATTTTCATATTTAGTTTCCACATGGTCTACCTTGTAGAAGTCCCGTAGCCCGCAGGCCTGGAGTTTTTGCTGGAGTGTTTCTGGGTTAACGTAACTGTCACCCAAATCTGTCTTCACTCCCACCGCTCCCTCGCTGGCTGGCAGAGCTCCGCTGGGGAGGGGGAGGGCGCTGTCAGAGGGACGTGGGTGCCCTCTCTGCCCTGGAGCAGCCTGTATTGCCGAGGACAGGTGTCTGGGCGGGAAGGGGTGGCGCGTGGTCGCCCTGAGGCAGGGAGCAGCGGCTGTCCTGGCACAGAGGCGGAGAAGCTCCACTGACTTGGGGAGAACCCTGCGGGCCCTGGGACGGGCTTTGTCATTGACACTCATTCTTAAATAAGTCGATGAGCTCTACGTCGGACTGACGTCATCCGCGTGCCGCATAGAACTTCCCGGACCTATGGCCGACCGAGGAGAAGTGCAGCCCCACCACTTACTGTGAGCTCTGGCTTTGGGTCCATTTTTTAACCTCCCTAAGTCTCAGGTCCACATCTGGAAAAGTGTTTCAAATTTTAAGAATTATTTGAGGTCAGAAGTGTAAAAAGCAGCCCAGTGCTTGGCACACTGCTCAGAAACTGCGAGGGCCCTGCTTACCAGGGCCAGCGTCATGGCTCACGCGAAGACCCTTGGAGCGGGGCGGGGAGGGGCACACATCTCGATTCCCGACTGGACCAGAAGCTCCATCAGAGTGCACTTAGTGTTAAATGTGGGCAGAGGCTTCTGAAGGGACATTGTGTTTTAAAGTTTCATTCTGAGAGGAAGTTGATAAATTTACTATCTTTGGTAACAGTTATAAGAAATGTATTCTTTAGTTGGTCAAGGAAACTTCCTTCCTCCTGAGTCTTTTCTTGACTCAGACAAAGAAAACGGAAAGCTGTTGGCCTTCTAAATTTTATTAACTGATTATATAAAGCTTTAATTTGGAATCAAGTCACACATCAATAAATACTTAATCACATGGTAAGGAGAACGCAGAATATTCATTTCCTCGAAAGTGTATTCCCCAAAACATGCAGTCCTGAATTGGAGTGAGTTAAAGTCGTGGAACAAGGACAGGAACACGGGAGCCGGGAGCCATACGGGACCCCCGGTGGGGAGGGGGGCTCAGTATTCAGATGTCCTGCCCAGTCTGCTCACTTCCTGCCCGAGCTGCCTTCCTTTGAAGGGCCTGCTCCTTGAATCTTCCTGGAGGGCGGAAAGTCCTATCTCACCGCGTCCCTACGCAGCCCAGGGCCCTGAGGCAGCCGGCAGACACCTGGGCAGACACCGGGGCAGCGGCTGCCAGCGCCGCACGTGCTTCTCCCTCCTCCTGCCCGTTCCCTGGTGCGCCCTCCCCTGCCTGTCCGTGTGCCCTCCTGGTGTGGTGCTCTCTGACCACCTCCTCAAAGGCGCTGTGACTGGCTCTGCTTCTTTTACTTTCTTCTCATCTCTCAGTCATCTGGAAATCTCTGCATTTCTGCACTTAAGTCTGCAGCATTGCAAAATTGCCTTTTTTTTTTTACTGTTTTGTTTGTATGTGTTTATAGAACAAAGATAAGCTAGTGTTGTGTTTAGTTAGAATGACCCTAAAAGGTGAATAGTGTTTCCTATACCCTTGAAGTATTTGGTCGAAGTATTTTGTAATTCGAAATTTGTTCAGTCTGAGATTCTTTATTAAGTTTAAGTAATTTTTAATAAATAATAACTAATGTCAATTAAGGCACATGCCTAGTTTCCAATTTATTGTCTCCTTTGAAACCAAACTGGACTGGTCTTTGCAGGGCGACCTCAAAGCTTACCTGCGCGGCGAGCAGGAGCACATGCGGGGGGACGCGCAGACCATGCTGCTGCAGCGGATGGCGTGCGAGATCGCCGCGGGGCTGGCCGCCATGCACAAGCTGCACTTCCTGCACAGGTGGGTCCGTCCGGCGGTGCGGGTGTGCAAGCCAGAGGCTTCCGCCGGCAGGCTGTGGAGTCCTCTCAGTTTAAAATGAAGAAGCTGTCCTGTGCTTCCCAGTGTCCGAATAAGGGTTGAGTTGGGCCATGTATAGCCTCAGGTCTAGGAATTATTTCCCAAATTTCAAAGAATGTACGAGTTGTGCATTGCTCAGTGTTGAGAACAAACAGTCCGTGTCTACCTCCAGGCATCTGTCGTGTCCTCCTCGCGGCTCCGGTTCTTACGCCGGGTCTCACCGTATGTCCCGGTCACTCTCCCGGGAGAGGAGGAGAGGACCTGACAGGCTCACGTCCTCCTTTCATACAAGGTCCGCGTGTTGGTCCCTGGCCGGTGCTCCGAGGGGCCTGCCCGGGTGGGGTCGGCGGAGGGCAGGTGTTGTGGGAGTGGCGCGGCAGCGGGTGGGCACGTTTCTCTAGAGACCTCTCTGGTCCTGCTCAGGTGGCCGCAGCTCCTTGGAGCACATTGTATTTCGTTGAGATCATTGATGTAATTTTTGTAGTGAAAATAACAAAGGGCTTTCTTTGAGTTCTGCCTGAGATGATGGTTCTGCTTAGTCTCCTCTAGCCTTTTGAGCTCTGATTTATGTTAACAACATGTATAAAATAATTTTTCGGGTCTTCTGGGAAACAGGCAGTATTTCTTGAGTTTAATTATATCATTTAACTCTTAATAATCCAAAGGCTTGCAAAGGAACACCTGTGTGTATTGCCATGAAGGACTATCTTTGAAGTATCAGAGTTTTTAAGAAGCTGGTTGGACTGGAATATATTTATAGAAGGACTATTTTTTTTTTAAATAAGAAAACACTTGGTTGTATCTGGAGAAGAATGTGTGTGTGAACAGACATGGAAAAGTGCCCATCAGGCTCTCAGCATCACTTCAGAGTGGGGGAGAGGGAACATTATTAAAGTTTTTCTGACACATCTATATCTTGTTTGACCTACGTAGTGAGCAGATCATTCTGAGAAAAGTGCTTTTTAAAAGACCAAAGACATTATAGGTCTCTTTAGGCTCCCCTACACAAAACTTCTAAATAGAAACATATATTTGTTGTGTAATGGAGCAATCTTTTGTTTTGTTTTCAATCTCTTACAACAGGTAGTACACAGTATTTTTGTATCGTTAATCTTTTGTAAAATACAAATAATGATGACCAAATTCTTAGTTTAGGAATTTTTAGGTTTTGGAGAACAGAACACCGAAAAGGAGTATATCAGAACCAGCAACATAAAGTTACCAAAGAGCTAGAAATTGTGCTCAAAGCCCAAGTACATTTTGACTGTCGTATGTTAAAAATTGGCAAAGACGTCAGAGGAAATGCTATTTTCCTGTGAGTTTTTTCAGGTTAAAGTTTTACTTTATTTAGAATCCTGTGAACTTTAGAACAAGTAAAGATGATAAATTAAATCACATGGTTTGGATTTTATTCAGGTACAAAAACTCAAGGGGAAGAAGGTTCTTGAAACCATTGACAACTGTCTCATTTTGTTTTAAAAAGTAGCCATATTTTATGTAAAATTCCCATATGGGGCAGAATTTGGGGCTTTCAGGGTGTTTTGTTGTTGTTAGCACACTGTAGAGCATTTTTAAAGTTGGAATTTAGAATATCTATTGGCTGGCTCAAAGTCAGACTTTCTGTGTTGGTTGAAAATAGATCAGCCCATGTGTCCAGCTGAAAGCTGCAGCTACGTTTGGAAATTGATGCAGTAAAACTCACCCAATTACATTTTATTTTTACATGTTTATAAAGAGACCTGTGCCTGGGTCTCAGGTGGCCTGCATTTCTGAAGCTGAGCACGGGATATGCGTGACATTCAGTAACTTCCAGTCACTCTGCTGGCCAGTTGTTACCAGGAATTCGGGCTATTCCAGGAAGCAGGAGCAGGTCGCACACGTGGAGGTGGGCATGGCTGCAAATGGCTGCAGTGACGTGGAGCTGCCGGCAGCCCTTCTGCAGACGGGCGGGCTCCGGCTTGCGAGTTGAGGACGCGTGGAGATGCCTCCTTGGGAACTGGAGGGGGCTCTGTAGAACTTCGGGCTCGCAGCTCTGTGTCGCGCGCAGCCGCCACCGCTGAGGTGAGAGCCGCAGGCGCTGCGGCGAGGGCCGAGCCAAGGGCCCGAGAGCCTTTCTGGCTGCATTGCTTGGCAGCCTCCCTGCCAGACCTGTTTTGCAGCTTGGAGGAAGAATAGGCTGGGTGCGTTTGTACTTCCGACCCAAACCTGCCATGAACGTCAAGAGTTACTTCTGCTGTTAAGTTACTCCTTGTGCTTTTCTTTTCTTTGGCTTTGCATGTTTCGGGCTTCAGAGAATATCTATTTTTACCAAATTTGAGCCAGTTTTCACATTTTGAGAACATTTTATATGGAATGTGGCATCCGTATAAAAACCTTGTGAATTAGCCCTTGCAGGTACATCCCTGTTGCTTTTGTGGGGACAGGGCGGCTCTGATATGTCAGTGACTTGCCCTAAGGCATGCACTTGTGAGGTGGAGGAGCTGAGACGGTCCCCAGTCTGACTGGGGACAGGGGTGTTCGGGGTGGAGGAGGGAAGTAGGGCCAGCAGGAGCTGCCCTGTCACCCACTGTCCCCGTCCTCACTCACTGCCCCGGCTCAGTTGTGAGGGGCACCTTCTTGTCCCTGAGACCGTCAGTGGGGCTGTGCCAGAGGTGAGGAGGGCCTTTGCGCGTGGAAGCCGACGTGGCGGCACGTGGCTTCCCCTCTGTTCTGCGACCCGCACACCTGCAATCTGAAGGCCTGCAGTGGGCGGGGGCGGGGAGGAGGGGAACCGGCAGACCCCGGGGGCTGCAGTGGCCCGAGGAGAAGGTGCCGGGCGCTCTGGGGGGCGCCCCGGCCAGCCTCACACCTGAGAGGCACCAGCTTTTCATCGCCGCCTCACGGGGGAGGGTGGCGAAGGCTGAGGAGGGTCTGTTGTAGAGGCTCGCGAAGGGGTGTCGGTGGGCGCCGCCGGGCCCTACCGGTGTGGGGCCGCCGCCTGGCAGGCACCCCCGCTGCCGCCCCTTCTCTGCATTCCAGGGGTCGGGGCCGGGCCGGCTTTGTCCTGAAGGCTGGACGTTTCTCCGTTGTTTGTAACAGTGGAGTCAGGGGGCGCCCAGGTTTCCCCGAGACACATGCCCAGGCCTGAGGCTCTGGGACAGAGCGCCGAAAATCGCCACGTAGGCGGAGGAAGTGTGGAGAGGCGTGCAATGCAGCGCGTGGGAGGTCAATCGGGAGTCAAGACCGGCACGTGCCTGCCGTGGCGCGGACCTGGCTGTGCGTGTGCTGTCGGTGGTGGCTGCCGGCGGTGAGAGGGCCGACATGCTCCTGAGTGGCGTCTGGCCAGCCGCGTGCGTGGCCCTGACAAAATTGATTCCATTCTCTGGGCCTCGGTGTCCCTGTCTGCAGACAGGGCTCACCTCAGAGGTTTGCTGGGAAGATTAGATGAGCGAATGGCACACATAAAGTGCTTAGAGAAATGTCTCGTGGAAAGTAAGTGCTTTGTAAATACTGGCCGTGATTACGTGATGGACTCCGTGTGGGGAGCGAACCGTCAGTGCCCTGTCGGCTGAGCCGTTGCTGTTGTCATTCTCGTTCCCTTTGTATTTCAGACAGATGAGCTCTGGAGAGCAGAATCTTGGAAAGTAAGAACTCAAGAATTGGTTTAAGTGTTTGATCTTCTGTAGCCTTATAAAGATAGACCTTTTTAAAAAAACAAACGCATTTCTTTATTTGTAGAGGAAGGAGAAAGGAGGAAGAGAGGGAGAGAAACACTGATGTGAGAAGCATCGGTCAGTTGCCTCTCCCACGCTCCCAGACAGGGACCAGGCCTGCGCGCGTGACCCAGGCGTTTGCCCTGGTGGGGGGTCGAACCGGACCTTTTGGTTTGTGGTTTGCTGGGCGATGCCTGGCCCACCGAGCCACACCAGTCGGGGGACAAACATTTTAAATTTTGGACTGTAGAAGTTCAGTTTCTGATAACTTTTATTTGTGATATAAAACTGTAAATTAGGTATCCTTTTATATTTCAATTTACTGGCCTTTTTTATTTGTATGCCAGTTGATGATTAAAAACATCCTAAGGGCTAAAGCCAAAATTTAAAGAATTTAATGCTTTCTTTAAAAAAAAAAGTAGTATTTTCTTTTCAGATTATGTGTTTTTGAAAATTTGTACTTAAACTATGTAAGTAAATTGTTTTAATTAACTCTTGAAAATACGCCCTCTACCTCCCTTGTGGAGAGGTGGAGTTTGAAGAGAAGAGAGTTATCTGAAAAGGGCCTCCTAATAATGCCTGCACATCTCTGGAAAAGGAGTTAAAAAGCAGACATTTTTAAAAATGTAAACTTGGTGGGGGGGGGGGTTGAAGTTGTAACCTGATTAATCTTTACTAGACTATTATTCAAGTAATACAAATTATTGCCCAAAAAATTCAGACATTTTAGACAATAGTATTTTAAAGTTCTTTCTTGGTCACCATTCTTAAAATAATAGGAAATGAACCATAAATCTGGTATTAGTGCAGAACAAGGTAGAGATATGGTCAGTATTTAACCTTAGCAGTTACAGTTATTTGCAAAAACATCTGATCATCTCCATTTTTTAAGTCATTAAAAATATGATATATAATCCTTTTTTCTGTACAAAAACATCTTTAACATAAATGGAGCCAGGAGCTCAGCGTTCTAGTCTGATTACCAGGAGAGTCTTTTCCCGCAGCAGTGCGCTCGCTCGTTCTCGGCTTGCGGGCTCTCGCTGTTAAGCCCGTTCACGCCGCTCTCTCTGTTTTCAGTGACTTAGCCTTGCGGAACTGCTTCCTTACCTCGGACTTAAATGTGAAAGTGGGAGATTACGGGATAGGATGCAGCAGGTACAAGGTAAGCCAAAGGTGGAGAGGGTCTCGCCTTGGTCTGAGTTAATTTTTCATAGTCCTGAGGTGGCACTATCACAGAATGTCGCTCTGTTTTTGGAAGAGGGGCTGGTTCCAGTCATTTTAGTGTGATTGTTGGCTTCTGATGTATGTGTTTTTCCTAAATCAGTGGCTCTGTACCCGAGGTTTGGTGACAGCTCTCTAGACGCTTTGTTTGAAAAGACTTAGAGTGAAGCAGGTGTAATTGACACGGTTGATGCTGTATCATAAATGTCGGTGTGCACGTGGGCAATGTAATTATTACCACGTGTACTGTAAAATACGCGTGTCACATAAGTATTTTTCCATTATACAGTCAGTAAATTTTTGGCTTAAATACAGTAAGCTTGGAATTTATGTTTTTAAACTCTGTCATAAATATATCCCCAAAGAAAGTAAGAAGCAGATGAGGTTTTCATCTGTGTATTTGTGTGGCCCAGCAGAAGGAAGTAGCTTGACGGGGGCAAAGGGCAGCTGGCCTGGTTTCACACTGTCAGGAGACCTTGAAAGCCACTTGACCTCCTTTTTCTAAGCAGCGACATGAGGATAATATCTGTTTTGTCTTGTGGGATTCATGTAAAGACCAACGGGACCATATTTCCACAGAACTTTGTAACTAAAAAGTATTATGCAAATATGAGTGGGCCGTTTGTCTACACAGTGGCTCCAGTGTCTTGAGCACGTGCTGTATTCCAGGCACTCTGAGGCTCTTGCCTGTGTGTCTCGTTTAATCTCCGCCCTAAAGGGAGGGAGGTCTTGTGCCACCTCATCTGACAGATAAGGAAATAGGCCCAGCTTCTTCTTTTCTGCCCAGAGTCCCGTAGCTGGTAAACGGTTGAAGGTGGGCTTACAACCAGCCTGTCAGGATCCGAAGCCCGCGCCCTCCCTGCTGGCCCCACGCCCCCATCTGGGGCGGGCAGCCCGGCGCTTCTGCTCAGAGCCTGTGTCCTGTGCATCAGATACAGCGTGCCTTCCTTTTCCAGGAAGGATGACTGAGCGAGTGGTTGGGGCTCAGAGACCAGCTCATGAAGCCCAGGAGGCTTCGGAGAACCCTCGCCCACCTTCCGCCCGAAAGTCTCTCTTCATGCCCACTTGCTCTTTGGTTGAGTATGTGTTTTCTGAGAATGACCTGGAATTAAATCATTGAGCTTGTTAAACGTATAATAGAATTCAAAATTCTGTGTGCTTTCTAACAACACAGGAGGATTATATTGAAACAGATGATGAGAAAGCTTTCCCGCTGCGATGGACCGCTCCAGAGTTAGTGACCAGCTTCCAAGACAGGCTGCTGACTGCAGACCAGACCAAGTACAGTAACATCTGGTGTGTATCGATTCCTCCTTTGTCAGGCTTTTGTGTAGCGAAGTCCTCACTCTTTCTCCTGGAGCACTTCCTTGAGGGAAATCCACTGAGTAAGATGTAGGAATGCGAGAGCATCCGATGGTGTGAAAAAGGCAAGTTACTGACACAGCAGTGGGCGCAACTTCGGTGACGTCATTAACTTTCCGAACACTGCCTTTCTTACCCATTCAACAATAAGCTCCACGAAAGCGGATCCAGGTCCACTTTCTGTGCCTGCCAAAGGGCATGGCGTGTGCTACATGATTAATATTTACTGAAGTGACTGAAAACACAGAGGGGTCTGGGCTGCTGTGTGATGCTGTGACTTATAGGAGGTCAGTTTGGTGGCAGTTGAAAAAATGGGCCTAAGTCCTTGACTAACAATTTCTATTACTGCTTTCTTAATTTATATCTGTATTTGTTTGTGCTGTTGTCCTGCTTTTTTGACTTTCTTTTCCCCCTCTTTCCCTTTTTCGAATTGGTTTTTTAACTGCTTTTCTCCTCTTAGTTTGGGAGATGTGTATTCTGTTCCTGTACTTATTGGGTTCCCCAGAAATGGTAACATGTGTGCTTCACTATCTTAGTCTAATATTGGTTCATATCTTGACCCTCTTTCTGAACAATATGAGGATTTCAGAATATTGGTATTTAGAATATTTAGCATTAGCGTTTTTTTAGGTTCTTCATTCCTTTATTTTCTTTAGATCTCAGATCTTCCATCTGGGATTACTCCCCTTTTGCCTGAAGTATGTCCTTTAGGATTTCCTTTAGGGAGGGTTTGTTGGTAGCAGGCCCTCAGGTTTTTGTAGGTCTGAACATACTTTTTGGTCCTCATTCTACGAGTATATTTTTACCTGATGACAGTTATTTTCTCTCAGCATACTGAGGGTATCATTCTACTCTTCTCCCCTGTTGCTGCTGAGAAGTCAGCTGTATAAGTCTGCTAGAGCTTTGAAGGGATGTGACTTTTTCTCTCTGGCAACTTTTCTACTTTTCTCTTCATCCATCTTTTGTTTTTTGGGTTTTCTTTTTTTTTTTTGTAGTTTCACTGTGATGTATATGGATGTGAATTTACTGTTTTTCTTTAGTCTGTAAGTTGATGTTGTTCTCAACCCTTAACTTTAAAATACTGCCTCTGCCCCATTTTCTCCCCTTTTGGAAGTCTAATTAGATGTGCGTGATGCCTTCTTGCTCTGTCCCGTAATCTCTCTTTTCTATATTCCATCTCTCTGACTCTCTGTGCCACATTCCAGATAATTTTTCAGACCTGTGGTCCAGTCCCTAATTCTGTCTCTTTTTAAAACTCTCTCTTCAGCTGTGTCTAATCTTCTATTAAATCTCTGTATTAAGTTTTATAGTTCAGTTTTTGATTTTTCAGTTCTAGGAGGTCTATTTGATTCTTTAAAATTTGTCCCAGTGTCTTTAATAATGGGTCATACTATGTATCCAAAAATTTCAATCTCTGAAGTCCCTGTGTATTTGATCTTGCTGCCTGGTGGTGTCTTGTCTCCCTGGGGACCTGTAATCCCTTCGTTATGGTAGCACGACCCAGACGACTCGGGAACAGCTGTGACAAGTATACGGGTCCAGCAGGGGAGAGTTGTTCATGTTCAAGGTTTCTTTTAGGTACTTTCTGATGTTTACTACTATTAAGAATGGAATTTTTTTTTCCTACCATAAAACTCAGAGTTCAGAATATTTGTTTTTTATCTAATCAATTTGCCAGACTCTCAAATCACTGTCATGACCTTCCGTATAATTTCTCTCCTCCCTGTAACGATGCCCGTTGTCCCCGCTTCATCCTTTCTTTGCACTGGCCAGGACCCGCCAGCATCGTGCGCACTGGCAGAGGGGGCGTGCTCGTTGCGGTCTTCGCTTTAGGGAGAGTGTCTCTTTTTAAAATCATGCGCAAGAACCATCTTCAGTGACCTTTTCAGTATATACCTTGTCCTTAAAGCTCCTAATGACTGAACAAGTAAAAATGTGGGTGTTAAAAACTCAGCATCTAAAGGGAGAAAAGAAGTAACTGCTTTCTTTTTTCTGCAGGTCCCTGGGTGTGACACTTTGGGAACTTTTTGATAATGCCACTCAGCCATATTCCAACCTGTCCAACTCAGAGGTTATTAACCAGGTCATTCGAGAGAGGGGCACGAAGCTCCCCAAGCCCCAGCTGGAGCAGCCTCATTCGGATAGATGGTCGGTGACTCCCTGCTTTGCTCTGCTGTCTTCAAAAGATAAGGAAACTCTGTTTCCATGGGTTTTGGTTAGGTATTCCCTACTTTTATAAGAACCAATCATTTGTGTATAATTTATGCCTTTTTTTAGAATTAATATCTATTTTTACAATTTAACATTATTTTTGAAAAATTACGGAACAAGCAGGAATTTATGTATTATGCATAATAAAAAAATGGGAAGTCTGAACTCATTAGAAAAGTCAACAGTAAGGGGGTTTGCTATTGTGGAATTATTTTCAAGTGAGGCTACTTACGTAAGTGATATTTAAGGTAGAAAAAAGCATAAAAACGATAATATTTAAAGTGGCAGTTGAAACTAATATGCATAATGTATGTTCACATTTACAAAACAAACTTACTTAGGGGCCTTTGGATCAGTTCTCAGTCCGTTTCCGGTAGGGTCGGGTTCACCCTCTCTCAGGCCTCTGTCTGTCCCCCTGCCTGCCAGGCTGGCGTCGTCCCTGAAGCTTGGCGCCCCTGCACGTAGGCAGCGCACAGCTCCCCAGGTTGTTGGGACCATTGCACCCAGAATAACTTGACACACATGCTACAGATTTAATGCTCGGATACTGTCTTTGTCTTCCTGCCTGCTTGTGGCTACAGTTGTTGGCTGTATTCAGCCGGCCATTGGAAGCCTCAGCTCTTGGTTGCCGCCTTCTTTGGGCTTCATTCTCTTTTTTCCCTCCTCGTTCAGCTCCTCTCATGATCTAAGGAAACTATGTGCTTCAGAAGAGTGTAGTGTTGCTGTTTGCTGGGGAATAGAGATTGGTTACAACAGCATTTGTCCGTGTGAATTCTTGCAAAAATCTACAGATATAAGGGAGGCACATTCTTTCCCCACAGAGTACCTATGGCAATTGTTTTAAGAGGAAAACATATTAAAACTGTTCTTTTCTAAATTCAGCAGGTAAGTCCCTGGTTAAACACCAGAGGAACAAATGACAAGGCAAAAGAATTTCAGTGATCCAATGAAATGGCCTGAGAACACAAAAATCTGTGATCCAGTGTGTTCTGTCTTCATTCCCACTTTCACGGGGGTCTCACCGTGAGCGGAACGCCTTCCTGCGGTCAGCAGTGATTGAAGTGTAGACACTTCTGGGGTGTCAGGTTGGCTTAGGGGTTCTTGTAAAGCCCTTTCTTATTTAAAAAACAATTTGTTACTGGTCCTTTAAAGATCTCTCATGTGTCCCTCAGGTATGAAGTTTTACAGTTCTGTTGGTTGTCACCGGACAAGAGGCCAGCGGCTGAAGACGTGCACAGGCTGCTCACCTACCTGCGCATGCAAAGTCAGCGGGACTCCGAAGCCGACTTTGAACAACAGTGGAACGCTCTTAAACCAAATGCAAACAGCAGAGACACTTCTAGCAGTGCGGCGTTCCCAATCCTTGACCATTTCACCAGGGACCGGCTTGGTCGCGAGATGGAGGAAGTGCTCACCGTGACAGAGACCAGCCAGGGCCTGAGCTTCGAGTACGTCTGGGAGGCCGCCAAACATGATCACTTCGACGAGCGCAGCCGAGGCCCGCCGGGTGCAGCTCTGTCCTACACGAGCGTCTTCTTCCCGGTTGAAGTGTTCGAGCGCTCTCTGTCCGACCCCGGGCCCGGGAAGCAAGACAGCAGTGGCCAGGAGGTCCCCGTGAGAGCCCCCGGAGTGGTTCCCGTTTTTGATGCCCACAACCTTTCTGTTGGAAGTGACTATTACATCCAATTAGAAGAAAAAAGTGGTAGCAATTTGGAGCTTGATTACCCACCTACACTGCTTACAACTGAAATGGAGAATCCAGAAAGGACAAGTGACGAGGCGCCCCAGTTTCTGACTCTCAGGGGCCTTGAATTTGAGGAGTCCAGCACAGATGAGGATTTCTTCCAGAGCAGCACAGACCCCAAGGACCCCAGCACCCCCGAGGACATGCATGCTATCAGGGGCCCTGAGAGCCCTTTCAACAATATATTTAATGATCTTGACAAATCAGAGGCTCTGCCCAGTCACCAAAAAATATTTGACTTAATGGAACTAAATGGAGTCCAAGCTGACTTTAAGCCAACCACGTTAAGTTCCAGTTTGGACGACCCCAAAGACTCGGTGATAGCAGGCCGCTTTGAAAAAGACAAGCCCCGTAAGCTTTCTGACTGTGAGCCTTTTTGCTTATCGGAAAACCTTACGCTCCAAGATAATTTTGATCCGCTGAATGTGCAAGAATTGTCAGAAAACTTTTTGTTTCTTCAAGAGAAAAACTTACTAAAAGACTCATTGTCTAGCAAAGAACATATAAATGATCTTCAAACAGAACTTAAAAATGCTGGTTTTACTGAAACTATATTAGAAACTCCACCTAGAAACGCTTTAGATACTGAGCTTGAGTTTGCTGGAAATAAACCAGGCTTTTCCTTGTTGCAGGAAACTGTAAGCGCGAAGGGCCAAGATACAAGCGTCGCGCTCAGGGAACGCACTTTGAGCGCCTCATTGCCGTCTTCCCCGGAAGTGCAGGCACTGCCTACCTCCCGTGACACAGAAGGGACACCTCATAGCGCACCTCCAGGTATGTTCCTGAAGCAGGGAGAAGCCACGCCCAGGCATTTAGATGTCAGTATCCATGACGACTGTCTCTGCCAAGAAACAAATTTAGAACCTGTGACGGTCCTGGCTGAAATTCCCTCCGCCGATGCCAAAACACCCGGCATTGGCCATGGGTCCCCTGACCTGACTCACCAAAGTGAGGAGGCCTCAAGACGAACCCAGAGTGACTCAGTTCTTGGTGATGACATTTTTGCCGATAAAGGGAGTATAGGAAGTAGTCTTCCGGAACTGAGACAGAACCTGCAAGACCCACCTCTTTCAGAAGACCAGCACAGTGGTGGTCTGCTAGAGAAAAACTCCGAAGCGGTGGACACTTTGAATCAGCTGAGTTGTAAAGATGCTACAAAAGAGGGGGGTTTGGTGTCTGCCCTTTCCTCGGACTCTACCAGTCAGGACAGCCTTTTAGAAGACAGCTTGTCAACCCCCATTCCCGCCTCAGAGCAGTCGATGGAGACCCCAGACTCCCTGGATTCGGTGGACGTCCATGAGGCTCTGCTGGGTTCTCTAGGCTCTCACTCTCCTCAGAAGCTCGTGCCCCCTGACAAACCTGCCGACAGTGGGTACGAGACCGAGAACTTGGAGTCGCCCGAATGGACCCTGCACCCTGCTCCCGACGGCGCCTCAGCCTCGGACGTGGCCACAGCAGGGGGCAGCGGGCACGGTGATGGTGAGGTGCCTCCCAACCCTGTCATTGTCATCTCAGATGCAGCCGATGGCCACAGAGGTACCGAAGTGACCTCACAGACTTTTGCACCTGGCTCTCAGAGCTCGTACCGAGACTCTGCTTACTTCTCAGATAATGATTCTGAGCCCGAAAAGAAGTCAGAGGGGGTCCCAGGAACCTCAGTGTCAGCCGTGGTATTGGTCACAGATCAGCCCCCGCCTGAGCCAGTCACCCCAGAGCGAAGTCCTGGCACCGAGGACAGTTGTCTGGAAGCCGAAAGTAGCCAGCCAGACCAAAGCTGTCCATCTGCTTTGCAAACTTCCGGTCTCCTGCAGTCGAGAGACACGTCAGAACCGGCCGTGACGAGCGATTCCCAAGAGCTGCGTGCTCCCGGAGACGAGGCGGGCAGCCCCTCGAGTTTGTTGAACTCGGAGCCGAGCAGCGGCGACGACTTTGAGGCACAGGAAGAGCGCCCCTGCACGATCGTGTCCACCGGGACCAACACCAGCGAGCTCCTTGCGTTCACCAGCGCCAGCCTCCGCTCCAGCAGCCCACCCGACCTAGCGGTGGGCAAGGCCTTGCCCAGCCACTCGGAGGGCCCCAAGCTGAAGGAGCCAGACATCGAAGGGAGATACCTGGGGAAGCTTGGCGTGGCCGGGATGCTCGACCTTTCGGAGGACGGGATCGATGCGGACGAGGAAGACGAGAACAGTGACGACTCGGACGAGGACCTGCGGGCCTTCAACCTGCACAGCCTCAGCTCCGAGTCGGAGGATGAGACCGAGCACCCTGTACCCGTGATCGTCAGCAGCGAGGACGGGAGGCACCTGCGGAGCCTGTTGAAACCCCCAGCCGCTGGTGCTGTTGACCAGCTGCCAGATGACTGGAAAAAAGAAAAGAAGGCTGTGACGTTTTTTGATGATGTCACAGTCTATCTGTTTGACCAGGTATGTTACCTCCAACTTGTCATACTAGAGAGTTCCAGAACGTGGTAGGCGATCGAGTGTGCTGTGTTTTCCTCATTCTCGTTTTGAGGCCACGAATTGCTCTTGACTACCCCCCAAAAAAGGAGGAAGAAAGTTGCAGTTGGTTGCCACTGCAATTCCAAGAATATGCAGAAATGTAGTTTGCACAGGGAACGCCCAGTAAATTAAGGAAGGATATCCGTGCCCTCCTCCTGGTCTCCCGGCAGAGCCCTGCTGAAGCTAGTCCCTCTTCACAGACCAGGTTTTTAGAATCTGACAGCTGGCCGCTGTTGGGCTCCCGAGCAGCCCTGGAGGCGCCAACCGGCCGTGGTGCCTCGGGCGGTGCAGGATGCGAGGCCCTCCTGCCCTCCTCCCGCAGTGCAGCAGGTGGCCTGCCGCGACCGCTAGGTGGGCTCCGGCTTTGCCTTCTTTAAAAATGTGTCAGCCGATAATTCAGACTTTAAAAAACGCTCGTCGTTGACTAGTCTCTATAGTCCTTGAATTTGCTTCTTGAATTAGCTGGATTGTCAGTAAAGCTCAGTCACAGACACATCTAAGTGGGACCCCTTTACGTTCCAGAAGGCGCGGGAGTCCCTGGCCCTTGTCTCCTTAAAGCCGCCCGCCCTCCCCGGGTGCCGGTCCTGGGAACCGAGGCTGCAGCCTCTTGTCCAGCGTTGTTTCTCCTGGGGTCTGCTCTTCAGCCTGGCCTTGTCTTTTCAAGAATGTCATGCAAAAGGATTTGGCATGTAACCTTTGGAGGCTGGCTTTTTCTTTCCGTATGTATTTCCTTTGAGATCCATCCAAATTGCACGGATCGATAGCACCTTCCTTTGTGTTCATAAGCCGTCTCTAGGGTGTGGGTGTGCCCGGGTAGTTTTGGGGTTCCCTCGCTGAGGGACAGTTTGGGGGGGTCCCACTGTGGGGCTAGTAACAAATAAAGCTCCTTTGCACAGTTGTGTACAGGTTTTTGTGTGGACACACATATTTTGGGGGGAGATGAGCATCCCGGAGTGTTATTGCTAGGTTGTATGGTTTTTTAAAGAAAATAACTGTCGCACCACAGTTGTGCCGTTTTATACCCCCACCAGCAAGGCAGGAGAGGCTCCGCCCCCTCCGCCTCCTGCAGCTTCCGTTTCAGCTTCTCTGCCAAGTGCGCAGCGGCCTGTGGTCGGGTCCTGCAGTCGCCTTCCCCGGAGGCCGCCTGGTGGTGCTGCGCGCCTTCGCCTGTGCGCACTTGCTGCCTGTCTGTCATCTCAGGGACCTTTTTCGCCTTTTGCCCATTTTCTAACTGGATTCTCTGTGTTTTGGGTTTTGAGAATGTTTTATAGATTCTGGATACGAGTCCTTTGTCAGAGACATGGTTTGGAAATACCTCTCCCAGTCTGTAGGTTGTCTCTCGCAGAGCAAACGTTTAAATCTTGATGGATTCCCATTTATCATTCTTTTTTTTTTTTTATGGAGCCTACTTTTGTCATGGCCAAGCACTCTTCACCAAGCCCTACATTGCAAATATTTTTTCTCAAATTTTCATAGTTTTATGTTTTTTTCGTTTAGATCTATTACACATTTGGAGTTAATTTTAGTGTAAGATTTAGGCTGGGGTGCCTTGTTTTACATTTGGGTATCTGTCCAGCTATCCCAGTGCCCTCTGCTGAGAAGACCACCCTGTCCATGAATAGCCTTAGCACCTTTGTCAAAAATGAAATGACCACGTCTCTATGGGTCTCCTTCTGGGCTTTTTGTTCTGTTCCACCGATCGGTACATTTGCATCTTTGCCAGCACCTCACTCTTGTGATACAGTCTTGATTGGAATCGGTGCGGGGGTATGATTCCCCTGCCATTTTTATTTTTTTTTAAATTGTTTTGGCTCTTGTATTTCCTTTAATCTTCCATATAAGTTTTAGAACCTGTTTATTTGTAGGTTTTTAAAAAATCCTACTGTGATTTTGATGGGAATTGCATAAAATCTAAAGGTTGGTGTGGGGAGAATAGACATCGTTACTATGTTGAGTCCCAGTTCATGAGCATAGTAGGTCTCCATCTGTTTAGTTCTTCTTCATGTTTTGTAGTTTTCAGGACACATATCTTCTTCCTGTTTTGTTAGATTTTAACTAAGTATTTCATTTTGGGGGGGAGCTATTATGAAAGGTAATTTTAAAATTCTGGGTTTCATTTGTTTCTTGCCAGTATATAGAAATGCGGTTGATTTTTGTGTGTTGACCTCGCGCCCTGCAGTGCTCACTTACTAGTCCCAAGGGTATTTTTGTTTGCGTTTTTTATTTTTCAAATTTCTGAACAGTTTTCTACTCAGTCATGTTGCCTGCAAAGAGGGACGGGTTTATTTCTTCCTCCCCAGTCTGTGGGCCTCCAATTCCCTTTTCTCGCCGAGCGGCGCTGTCCAGGGCGGCTGGCGCACTGTCAGACACAGTGACGGGAGTGGCTGTCCTGGCCCTGGACGCGGTCTTAGGGGAGAGGCAGTCAGTCTTCGGCCGTTGAGTGTGACGTAGGTTTTTTGTAGATGCTGTTTATCAAGTTCAGAAGGTTCTCTTCTCATCTTAATTTGAGGGAGTTTTTATCCTAAATGGATATTGAGTTTTGTCAAATGTATTTTATACATCAGGTGGTCCTTCTGTTACTATGTTAATGTGGTAGATTATATTGATTATCAAGTATTGAATTGCCTTCCTGGAATAAAGCCCGCCGGGCTGTGGAGCTCATTCCTGTTCCGTGTCGCTGGACTCGGCTTGCGGGTATGTTGTTGAGGGCTTTTGGGTCTGTGTCCGAGGGGGACACTGGGCTGGCGTTGCAGGGGGTGTCCGCGTGCTCCTCTGGCCGAGAGGGGTTTTCGTTGTTGCTGCTGGGGCAGTGCCTTGGCTTCGGTGTCCCGGCGAGGCCGGCCTCATAAACTGAGCTGGGGAGCACTTTCTCCTGTTGCTGAAAAGATGTGGGGATTTGCCGATCTCTTTGAAGAATTGCTTTTGGTTTCAGGAGTGTTTTTTCTTTATAATCTTCTTTTCAGTTTCATTGATTTCTGCTTTATCATTTCTTTGCTTCCACTTGCTTTAGATTTATTTTGCTCTTCTTTTCCTGGACTCTTAAGGAAGGTGCTTAGGATTTAAGACCTTTCTTCTTTCTAGTATTAGCGGTTGCTATAAATTTCCCTTTGTGCACGACTTTAGCTGAATCCCACACATTTTAATATTGTATATTCATTCACTTCAAAATATTTTCTAGTTTTCCTCGAGGCTTCCTCTTTGACCCATAGATTACTTATCAATGTATTCATTTTCAAGCCTTCTGGGGGCTGGGGGTCCCCCTTTCAAAGTCTCTGTTGTACAGTGTGAGCTCAGCATAGCCCAGAATGCAGAGCGGGCACTGGGGCGGGTGGGGAGTTCCGGAGGCTCTTGGTGCTGGTACTAGAAGCTGTAGGAGGGGCTCCTGAACCCTAGAGCGAGGGGGAAACTCCTTTGCCCCTTTGCTCTGCTCCCAGCCCCAAGCAGTCCCGGGGTCGCAGCAGCAGAGAGGACAGGTGCCTTTGCTCGTGAGGGGAGCGAATGTTCTCTGGCTGGAGGGTCTGTGACCCCAAGAAAGAGTGAGAACACCTCATGCTTTTTTTTTTTTTTTTTTTAATTTTTAGAGAAAGAGAAACATCAGTTTGTTGTCACACTCAGTTACGCATTCATTGGCCGCTGTCTGCATGTGCCCTGGCTGGGGGTGCCACAGCCTTGGCGTATGGGGTTGACACTCCAGCCGAGCTGCCGGCCAGACCCCTCAGGTGCTTGCTTCTCTCTCTGTGCTCCCGCTGCACAGCTGCGGAAGGGGTGCAGTGTGGTGGGGCGATGCACGTCCCAGCTTTCTGGCTGGAGGACCAAAAAGGGAAGGCCCAAGACATCAGAAAATACCAGGGACAGCACGGAGGGCGAGGAGCTCAGAAAAGCGGTCCCAGGGAGTTGTCTCCGCGCCCCCCGGCTTGCCTCCACGCCGTGCCCGGCAGCAGATCCGACCCAGAAGGACGCAGTGAAGCTTTGAGGGCTGAGCTGTTGGGGGACCGCTGCCCCAAGGTCCGGCCTGGCCAGTGGGTGGCACGTGCGCAAGACAGGTTCAGGAGTCCAGGCCCGCAGCTATGGTGGGAGGTCCGATTCCCTGCCGGTTTGGTGTCCTTGAATCCTGGCCTCCTTCCCCAGCTGGCCTGCTTGCTACTGTTCACTTCTCAGGCTCCGGGAGCTGCTCCATGCACCTGCCCGGGCTTTCGGGCTGCGTCCAGTGAGAGACACGACTGTGTGTTCCTCTCCCACCTCCTGGGTCCGGGACCCGCCCGCTCTGAGGAGCAACTCCCAGCCTGTCCAGCCGACGCACTGTGGCTGGACGCATTCACCGGCGGGCGTCAGGGAGCTGGCATTCGCTGACGGGCTTTCTGCTTGGCTTTTCAGGAGACCCCAACCAAAGAGCTGGGACACTGTGGAGCGGAAGCGCGTGGCCCGGAGCGGAGCAGCCCCGCACCGTCGCCAGGTTCCCCCTACCTGAGCAGGTGCATAAACTCCGAAAGTTCAACCGACGAAGAAGGTAGTTCACTTCACAGTCGAGCTTTAAAGAAACTAAAAAGAGCACATTGTGAATCGTGTAAACTTTTTGAAGATAATGTCAGATGTTGCTTAAATGGCCCCCGTGACACGGGGCAGCTCTGCCATCTGCTGGGCCGGGCCCATGTTTGCTGACCTGCAGAGCGCGTCTGTGTGTTTGCTCTGTTTTCCGTCATGAGACGACCAAAGGAGAACGCTGTCTCGTTTTGTGCTTGCAGGCGGAGGCTTTGAATGGGATGACGACTTCTCCTCAGACCCTTTCATGTCAAAGACAGCGAGTAACCTTCTTAGTTCCAAGTCTGCGGTGCAGACATCAAAGTACTTCTCGCCGCCGCCGCCGCCGCCGCGGAGCGCAGAGCAGAGCTGGCCCCACGCGGTGCCGTACTCCAGGTTCTCCATCTCCCCCGCCAGCATCGCCAGCTTCTCCCTCACGCACCTGACCGACTCGGACATCGAGCCAGGAGGTGAGGGTGCGCGGGGCCGGGGTGCGGCCTGGAGACTGTCCCTCTGAACTTGAATGCCTGTCAGTCCGGTGCGCTCCTGGGCGGGGAGACGGTAACAAATTCTTCGTAAAGCTCTCACCGTCTCGACAGTGCGCTCTCAGGGCCACGGGCGCTCCGCGAGCTTGGTGCCACCACCAGCAGGTGCCCCCGCTCGGCCCCTGCGGGGCGGGGTGGCCTGGGCAGAGGCAGGGCTTGTCCCAGTGTGGGGGCCGCCTTTTCTTGCCCCTTTTTCCGCGTTCTGCTGGCCACCGCTCCGCCTCCAGTTCCTTCTCCCCTGGAGGAGCAGTTCCTCACGAAGCTGGTGCTCTTGAGAACACCAGGCCCTGGTTTTGGGGCTGAGCCCAGACGGGCCCTGGTTTTTCCCGGGACTGTTGATTTTGCCATTAAGCCTTGGTCTTCATGCGATACCAGAAGGTCTGGGCGAAGTCACGGGTAGGGCACATTTGAAGTGGTATTATCTGAACATATGGACCCTTTTTTCTCCATAACTAGATTGGAAGATAAATGTTAATAGGTACATTTTTTTATTTGAAGTTTGCAGATCAAATAATAACTAGGAAATGTAAAGAGCTTTTGTTTGTGTTTGTGCTGTGCTTAATTGTGCCGATTAGATAGTGCCCGCGACCTGCCGCGCTGTCGGAGGGGCCGACGTGTGCCAGGTAGGGCTGACTTTCTCCCGGGCCCTAAGTCTGGACGTTGACCCAGCCTGGGAGCTGAACAGATGTGTTTGCGAGTCTGGCAAAGGCTGACCCCGGGAAGAACACCCGGGGCCCGGCAGGTGGCGGGTGTCCCCACTTGCAGCTTCACTTCCTTTTCCTGCAGCACAGATCAGATGCGAACCAGACTGTTTTTATCTGTGATGATCATTTTTAAACCCAGCTTTGCTTGCTCTCTTCTAAATAGGAAGCAGTGAAGATGGAGAAAAAGATTAGATGGATGCCGATGCGCCCTCGGGTCCCAGGCCGCTTCTGCAGGGCTGCAGTCCCGCTCCGCCAGCAGGCGACGCCACCCACGGGACATCTGCTGAGACAGGACAGGGACGAAGACTTGGGAGTCGGAGAGGGTGCCGGGCTCCGTGCCCGGGGCCCACGCAGGAAGCCCATCTCTGGAGGCGTGGTCCCGTCCAGCGCGTTTGCTGCCCTGGTGGCCGCTCTTGCCCACTGAAGACACGCGGGCTCTGGGCGTCCTTGGGGAGGGCTGGCCCTGCTCGGCTGCGGGGGGTACTGGGGGCTCCTGGTGGCCTCGGGCCTCCGTGCGGGCGCCCTCTGTGTCCGGACCTGTGCGGCCCCTCAGTGCGCGGGGGCCCAGAGGACACGTGGTGGGACTTGGCACCAGCGAGCCATATTTATTATTTTTAAAGAAATCACTAACTGCTTTCTGTAATTGCACTGTGGAAAAATGTTTTAAGAGTCCTTGATATTGTACAGAATCTTAAATTATTCAAGGAAAATAAGGCAGGTCAAGCTGGTGCTACCCACTAGTTTGATTTTTTTTTTTCTGTTTTATAGTTTGTTTGCATGGTACTTGTAAAGCTTAAATATTTTGAGTGTATGCAGTCCTTAGAATTGTTGGAATTGTACATATGGTACTCTTTCGTAAACGATAAATGATTCCGAATGTTAGTGTTTCACGTCCTCATAGGAAATATTTTTGATGAGTCCCGCCAGATGCCCTGCTGCCGGTAGACTGAGCCCGCGCTGTCTCTTCTCCGGGAGGCGGCCTCCCCGCGGCGGGAAGGCTTCTCAGAGGAGCCAGGGCCCTGCCGCGTCCCCGGGTAGCTCTCCCACCCCATGCCCCAATTTTTTAAAACTCTCTTGGTAAAAGTCGACAGGCGATACACCCCAGAGCTCAGCGCCAGGTGGGCTGTGCAGCCCCCGCCCCTCCCCGGCAGTGGCGTGGGGCCCCAGGGGCGCTTCCCCTCTGAGCCAGCGCCGCCGTCCGCTGACCCCTGCTGCTTGGTTTTGGAAGCGCAGACTGTGGTGGCTTCAGCATCCTTGGAACTCCTGCTCCACAGAGGGCTCGGGCTCCACAGGGCGGTTGATGGGTTCTGTGTGTACAGCTCGGCCTACGGGGTTGAGCCTGTAACCACTGCGAGCTGGACCTTCCCCTCAGAACCAGTCCGAGTCATGCCACCTGGCTGGTTTCCGCGGCCTGGGGGACACACGGCATCCTGCAGCTGTGAGGAGGGACAAGGGGCAGCCGCAGAGCCCCCGCTGCCGGCACATCCTCCTGGTGGGAACCTGGGCAGCCCCGCAGGGCCGCGCACCCACACTCGCCCTGGGTGCAGCGCACTGGCCCTCCCTCTGCACGGAGCTCCAGGTTCTCCCCTTGTGTGGAAAGGGGCCGAGCGTGTCCAGGGCAGTCCCGCAACGTTGGCGACCTCGTTCTTCAGTCCTTGAATTGTGCTTTGACGAGGGACGTTCCCGGGGCTAGAGCAGCGTGGCGGCGCCCTGCGGAGGGAGGCCAGGCCTGCGGCCCTGGTGCGCGCCCCTCCCCGCTGTTCTGGTGCTGCTGCGACGGAGGCCACAGGAGCTGGGTCTTGGGGCGAGGCGCAAATGCGGACACTGGCTCGAGTTTCCATAGTAAAGTTTGACTTTTAGTGTCAGTTCTGGTTCACTCCACCAACTTTTTATACTAGCAATAACTTTCCAGAGCAAAAACAAGTTCCGAGTGGAGAACGAGCCCCCTGGGGGCCCCCCCGCCGTGTCTGTGAGCCGGAGCGCGGTGGGGGCGCTGGGCCCGGCGCTGGGCGCTGCGGGGAGTTACCAGGGCGTGAGAAGGTGGTTTTGCCAAAATTGCCAAACTCTGAATTTCTTACTGTGGTGACTTCCTGAGCTTTCTGAATTTTTACATCTAACTACCAGCTTGGTTTAGAGAGGAAATGAGACCATTATACTAGTCTTTTTTAAAAGTATAGGTTTAAGGGTTTCAGGTGTAATGACTAGAATCAAGCAGATCCATAGAACATACAGTCTTAATACAGTCAGCGCAGGCTAGATCTGATACTTCGGGATTGTCCATTTTTCACTATGATCAAGGAGATTTTAACAACATAATTCCCATTTTAATTTATTTTAAGTCTGTGTCACTCTCATAACTAATTGCCAAAAAAAGCATTTTGTACCTTGAGCTGGGGGGTGGGCTGGAGTGGCGAATCTCATCGTGGGGTTGCATGGTCAGGGAGAATTTATATTTATAATAAACACGTAAGTGAACATGTTCTTTTGAAATCTCAAGCAATACACAAGAAGTGAATTATGTACATTAAAATTTTCAGCCCATTTTTGAAATGTCAGCATGTGCTTTGTTTCACTTTTTGGCTCAGTCGGTATCCAGTAGTGGGTTTCCAAGCCGTATTCCCCTAGTAAGTCGTGCAGCGAAGCAGGCGGTCCGTGGGTTCTCTAGGTGCAGTGGGCGGGGTGTGGAACACCTGGCCCGCGGTGACATTTCCAGGCCTCCCGTGGAATCTCCAATCAGGTTTTAATTAGTCCTCCTTTGGTGGAGTGTACGTATTTTAGATCCTATAATAAAAATAATGTGACCTGCATTTCCTTCCTAGCTAGATGCTAATTTTTGTTGCAAGTCAGAAAAGTAAAAAGAGTGCTTCCCAGATCCTTCTGCAGCGTGGCCTGGGGCCTGGGGCCGGAGCCGTTGGTCTTAAGGGTGAAGAAGCTCAACAAAGCTGAATTGAAAGCAGACTGCGTTCTCTTTTTAAATGTACAGGTGATCGATGGTCCCTATAGAAATGGGTTTCTCTAAGACAAGACTGTCTTGCTGCCATAAAACGCCTCTAAAGCCTCTTCCTTTTAGTATTATTTTCCAGAGGGTGGTTGTAGGGTGAGTGACTTGCTGCCTGTTTGTCCTGAGGGCCCAGCTGGGAGGGAGGCAGCTCCTGGTCTACCTGACGCAGCTGGTCACCTGACAGCTCCGTAAGGGACCCCCGAGGTAGGTAGGCTCCGAAGGTTGGGCTTCAGTTTCAGAGGCCAACCCGGGACATACAGCCTTATGAAAAGTAGCCTTAAAGTAAGAATGGCTGTATGGAGTTACTTCAGATCTAAATCTCAAAAACTATTCCCAGGGTGTGACGGGGTCGGCTCTAGCTTTCGGAACAAAGAAGATTCTCTTTGGTATATAAGTAAGTTCTTCCGAATGCGTTGACAGTATTGAACTACCGACAGCCTGTTGTTTGGATGGCTTGAACACGGCTCAGTTCGGGCTCCACCGGCCTCAGCTGGGCCTGCGGACCCACTGTTTAATTTCACCCGCAGCCGAGCGCCGCAGGGGCGGGCACAGCTGCGAGGTTTCCCTGCTGTACTTTAACACAGTTGTAAGAGTTGTATTCATGGCAATGTGACATTCATGAACTTTCAGTTTAAATTGTGTACATTTTTAAATTGTAAGATTTTTACTGTATATTGATGCATAGTGTGATTCAATAAATTGCTTGTAATTTAAAAACTATTTAATATTCAAAATAAATATAGTTATATATTTATAAACTCTGTAGCTGCGTTTCTTCCGTGTTTTCCACCCTGAGGCCCAGGGCGGGTGGCCTGGCGCGCCCTGGGCTTCTCCTGCCGCGGCTGCCAGCGAACCCCGGGAAGCCTGACCTGCCTGCGGGCCGGTGAGGCCCAGTGCACCTGTGAGCCGAGGCCTCTGCACGTGGGGGGTTTCAGAAGCATTTTGGTTCCTGAGGCCCAGCATCAAATGAGCTCTACGCCGAGCGGCGAACCAGCTCAGAGGAAGCCTGTCTCTGCTCTGAGTGGCCCTCGTCCCCGCATCGCGCTGGCCTGGCCGCCCTCCGCGCCCCCCGCCCCCGCCCCCGCCCCCGCCCCGGTCCCAGCTCCAGCTGCCGCGAGCCGAACAGGCTCTCATCGGGGCCGGCGCTCCCGGCCCCAGCGCGGGCTGCGGAGCTGCGGGGCGGGGCGGGGCGCAGCGCGCGGGAGCCCGGTCGCGGGGCTCGGTGCGTTCTCGCTCCCGGGCGTCCCCCCAGCCCACAGAACCCTCGAGCCCAGGCCTCGTAACCCCCTTTACGACACCTGTAAGCGGGGAGGAAACTAAGGCAGGGTAAGGGTGCGATTAAATAGACGTGGACGGCACGGCCGGGTGGAACTAGCTGCCCCGGATTCGCACGCGGGGCCTGGCACCGCCCCTCGCTCCCGCGCCGGCGGCGGGCGGCGGTCCCAGGGCCCCGGCGCTGCCTTCGGGGACGTGACCGCTGCTCGTTGAAGAAACGAGCGTTACTACAAAACGGTTTTTCCGCTAATTCTCCTCGTGCTCCGAGCCTGAACCCCAAGGTCAGGGACGGCGTCCAGGTGCGTCCCGGGGCTTCCCCTCGGGCCGGCGGGATCGCGCCGAGGCCTCCGCCCCGAGCCGCCGCCGGGCTCCGCCGTGGGAGCGCGAGCGCAGCCGGCGCAGGTGCGCCCCGCCCCCTCGGCCACCACCGCCCAGGCCCCGCCCCGCGGATCATTTACATGTGGCGGCGGCCCCGCCTGGGGCAGCTAAAGCAACGTGTCCTTGTCCCCCGTGGGCAGCCCTAGCGAGTGCGGCCGCAGATACCCAGGTACAGGGGTAGGGGTCGTGGGTGGCGGGGGCCGCAGGGAGACGCCCCGGGGATCTGGGGGAAACTGAATGGGGCCACCCACAGGTTAGCCTGGGGGGCCACTGCAGGCTCCGGCCACTGTCCACCTCTGCTCAGCCAGGTCCACAGCAGTTCCGGCTCCCATGTCGTCCCTTCAGGTGATGTGGTGGCCGGAATCGGTGCCAGTCCATCTGGGCAGAGAGGAGGCAGAGGGCTGTCCTGAGCTAGGATGGCGCTGCATCTCTGGGTGGCCCGAGCAAAGTGACAAAGGCCACCTAAGCTCAGGAGCCCGGGTGGGGGGGGGGTGGCAGTGAGCAGCATGGGGCCAGAGAAAAGTCCAGGGGTCAGGATGTCTCACTCAGGGGCCGAGGGGCTCACCAGGTCAGGGACAGACCTGAGCGGACAGCGTGAGACCAGGCAGGGGCGTGGGGGTGTGGGGCGGTCAGCTCGGGGCTCTGTCAATGAGACGGACCCTGGGGTCACTCAGTGTGTATCAGGCAGTCATCTGCGATTGGGCAGCGAGGAGGCTGCCGCAGGTAGCTGCCCTGAGTGTCTACTGGCTGTTCTGAGTGTCCACTGGCCTGCCGAGTGACCACAGGGTGGCCTGTGTTCTGGATTTCAGCTCCAAAGGCCCCCCCCACCCAGAGCCTTCACCCCCAGGGATAACCTGTCTGGAACCATGAAGACCAAGAACCGGCCCCCCAGGCGCCGGGTGCCTCCACAAAACACAGAGGTCACCTCAGGGGATCAGACCCCTGAGAGGCCCCAGCCTGGCTCCGCGGCCCAGCCGGCCAAGGGCCTGCGGAGCAGGACAGCGCGGATGCAGGGGGTGCGGGCCGAGGGCGGGCGCCGGCGGCAGGGGCCCTCGGGGCCTGCGGCCCGGCGGGAGAGCAGCATCCAGCGGCGGCTGGAGAGCAACGAGCGGGAGCGGCAGCGCATGCACACGCTGAACAACGCCTTCCAGGCGCTGCGCGAGGTCATCCCCCACGTGCGCGCCGACAAGAAGCTCTCCAAGATCGAGACCCTCACGCTGGCCAAGAACTACATCAAGTCGCTGACGGCCACCATCCTGACCATGTCCAGCGGTCGCCTCCCGGGCCTGGAGGGGCCAGGCCCGAAGCTCTACCAGCACTACCAGCAGCAGCAGGCGGCCGGGGGCACGTTGGGCGCCACCGAGTCCCAGCCCGAGGGCCACCTGCAGAAGTACTCCACCCAGATCCACAGCTTCCGGGAGGGCTCTTAGCACCTGCCCCGGCCCCACCAAGAGCCCGACTGGTGGTGACACGCCACATGGACACGGCCCCAGCGGCTTCATTTTCCCTGAACACTCAGCTGCCTTTCTGGAACACGTCCTGGCTCCCAAGGGACAAGACCTGGCCGAGGCCACGGCCCTGCGTGGCACAAAGCCCAAACCTTCGCGTAGGTCCCGGGACCTGCTTTCTTTCACTTGACTAGGCAAGAGCTGACAGGCCTTTATAACTAAACTCTCTTCACTCCTGGCTCCCCCTGGAGGCAGGGGACGTTCCAGGAAGAGGTGTCCTCGGTAAGTCTCCCCTGTTACTCCTGAGGCCCAGGCCTGGAAAGGGACCTCCCCGAACCTGCAGCAGAGCCTCCTCCTTCAGGCTACATGGAGGCACAGAGCAAAGCCCATGGCCACTCGGGGAGTGGGGCCACGCCGAGACAGCACCTCGCTGTCAGGTGGAACCCTAACCAGATGACCTCAAGTTGATCCTGAAGGGGGCTTCAGCGGTCCTGGAGGGGCTGGGGTGTTCTCCTGCCTCCTCCTGTGCAGGGGGCTCCTGACTGCGGAGGGACTGAGCCGGGCCAGGGGGCCTGTGGCCTGGTGCCGAGGGCGCTGGAGGCAGGACGGGGAGCGGGGCTGCTGGGCCCTGGCTCCCCGAGCGGCTGGGCTCGGCTCCGGCCCCGGGGAAGGTCCCTCCCCAGGCCTCCCTTGCGTCCCTCCCAGGTTGGCTGCTCATTGTCATCGTTGTCACCGACTGGGCGGTCTGACAGCACTTTAGAGTGTCATTGGGCCCTGGTTGGGGTTGGGGGCCCCGTGGGGCCCCCTACAGGGAGGAGCCTGGGCGGCAGAGCCCCCTCCCCCCCGCGGTGTGCTCCACCGGGGCTGGACTGGCACGTTGGCAGGTGTCCGCGGGCTTGGACCGGGCTTCCTTCTGTGGTGTTCCTGCCCCATTGGCGTCGACAGGCTTGGCGACTTTGCTCCCAACTGGCTGGCATCTCCCCTCCCTTGTCCTTCTGCTTACAGCCCATGTGGGGAGGGCACAAGGCCCTTGGCAGCCTCAGGCAGGAACCACAGTGACCGGGGCTGTGGCGAGGGCAGGGCCAGCCTGGCACATGGGGGTGGGGTCCCCTGTGCCCAGAGCTGCCCCGTACGCCCTCCGGGGGCATTGTGGGTCGGGGGTGGGCTGGTCCAGGAATGTCACAGCCGAGGGCTTGTCCCTGATGCGTGGCCTCGCTGTCCCATCCCTGGTTGACCCGGCGCAGCCATTTAATGAGTTTCCGGGCTGTGCGTCAGCCCTGGCAGCTTTAAGGACAGCAGGTGGCACCCTTCGGAACAGCCATTTGCCACCTCTGTTCTAACTTACCCGGTCAGGTGCTGGCTGGGCCCTCCCCGGCCCCTCTGGAAGGTGGCCCAAGGAGGCCTGTCCTTCAGCGCGGGGCCGGCGGGAGCCCCAGGTGCCCCTGGACTGCCCCGGCGGGCATGGCTGCTCTGGAAGGGCCCTGCGGTGACGGCCAGGACAGTCCACCGACAGGAGCCAAGGCCAAGGCAACCCTGAGCTCGGGACAGACGGGGTCCGTGCGACCCCCGCTGTGGGGGGGCCTGCTGGCTGGACACAAAAAGGCGAGGCCTGCGGACCCGGCGGCTCTTGTGGTGGCTGGGCCAAGGCCGGAGCGGCGCTCGGCGCGCCCCTGGACTTGCTGAACCGAAAGCACGGGGCGGGCGCAGGCGCCCCGCGGAGGCTCTCTGTCCAGGAGCCGGCGCCCAGTGACGGAGCGGCAGGAGGGCGCGGGGTCGCCCCCTTGCGGGGTGACAGCCCTGGGGGCTCTCTCCCCCTCTGTCCCAGTCTTGTACCTGCGCCTCCTCTGCCCCCTGAGGGTGCCCGGGCCCAGATGCCCAGTCCTTCTCCGCTGGAGGCTGGAGGCCGTCCGCGTGCCCTGTGCCCGCCTCGCCAAGGATCCTTAAAGGTCTCAGTCTCACTTTCGGGGGGCTGAATGTGGGCGGAGTGAGGAGACAGGTCTGGTGACAGGCAGGTAAGGTCTGCCGCTGCTGTCTGCCCCCTCGACCCTCCGCGTCGACCCCACGCCCAGCCGGACTCTTAGGTCCTCTGAAGAGTCCTAACGTCAGAGACCCTCACAGACCAGCTCTGGTCGCCCGCCCCCCCCCCCCCCCCCCAGCCTCGGCCATGCCTGCAGACCAGCCCTCCGGGCAAGCTCCCATCTAGGAGCAGAGAAACCAGAACTGCGACTTTTCTGTCTGGGAAAACCCCCCCGGGACTGAACAGCCGGTGCCCTGGGTGTAATTGTGGTGAAAATGTTTCTTAAATGACCCAGATTTGCCTTTCATTTTTCCTAATGGCCCCTTCAAAGTACTCATGAAATCAATGCTGTCACAAAATGAAAATAAAGGATTCCAAGGCAATCGCTCCGTCTGCCCCATGCACGCCTGCATCAGAGACTGTGCCTCTTAATCATAATAGAGGGGGAAGAAGGCTCGAGATTTACACTCCGGTGTAAGTTTTTATTGAATAAAGCAACCGGGGCATCGGGATGGTTCAGGGATGCTGAGCAGGGAAACAGCTGGTGCTTGTGAGACCAGCTGCGGTCACTTAGCAGAAGGACAGGTGGGTGCTGAGCAGGCCCGGAGCGCGCGCGCGCGGAAGCCCTGAGGGAGGGATGTAAACAGGTAGACGGGCGGAGACGGGCTGCGTCACAACGTCCGGCCGGGCCTGTGCCCGGCCTCCGGTCCCCTGGTCCGGCCTGCAAACGCAGGCTGCGGGCCGCCTCAAATGCTCCTCGCGAGGGCACCCCAAGGCAGGTCTCGAGCCCTCCGGCCAGGCAGGAGGGAGAGGCTCCCAGGCAAAATGTCTGGGTGTAGGAAGCAAACTCGGACTTCACCGAATGGGGCGTCATCGGATGAAAAGCAGCCGGGAGCTGCAGGACCGGAGGGGCCGCTCGGGAGGCGCCTTCCTACCCACCCCTCCCCCCGCCACACGATCGGAAGTGCAAGATGCCCCCAACCCCAAACACACTTGGGGAGGGGCCCGCTGAGGCACTCGGACAGCTTCTCCCAGCTACGGGGTGGCCTCTCGGTCCTGTGTCCACCCACGGGGGCCCGTGCCCGTGTGGGGAAGACGCCCCTCCAGCATTTATTTCCAACCTGCCCTCTCCTTCCTTAACTTCTGGAATTAGACCCCATTTGCGGTCCTGCTCTGAGGCATGATCAGAGCATTCACAGTGGCCTTAAACCCACAGCCACTTTTCTGTTCGGGGATGCCTGGGGCTCAGAGGGCCCTTCTGTGGGCTCTGCTTTCCTGGGGGGCCCAGTGTTCCCGGAAGGTTCCAGGCTCTAGGTTCCATCCTGGAAAGGCAGACGGCAGAGGGGAAAGGGATGGGTGGGAGAGGCGGAGGGGGCGTCCCCAGCCGGTGCCATCCTTGCTGACAGGGACAAGTGGGGAACGTCCATAACGCTTCACATTTCTGGGCTATTTCTGGTGCCTCTGAGGCCACGACCTCAGGCCGGGTTCCCTCAAGCCAGGGCAGGATCCGCATTTCAGCAGAGAACGGCTCAAAACGCGGGGCCGGCTCACACACCAGCACGGACCCTTCCAACGGGGCGTGCAGCTGCTTCCAGGTGAGGGAGGCGGCTCAGCAGCAGACAGGGCCCGCGGCCTCCTGCAGGGCGCCGGGCGCGCTCGAGGGCCCGCCGGGGAGGCCCTGCCCACCAGCTGGTGCCTGGGACGCGCCCCTGGAGGCCCTGGTGGCGCTGGCCCGGATGGAGACGTGGTCCCAGCCCCCCTGGGAGGAGAGAGCCAAGTCACCGGGGCGGGGGGTGTCGGGGGGCCACCCTCCCAGACAGCGCTGCCCGGGTCGCCCACCCACGCAGGCCAGGTTCCAGCCCAGGGCGCCCGGACACTAAGGGGCCGCGCACCAGCCCCTGCCGCGCGCTCACCCCGATGCCGTAGTCCCAGCCCTGCCCCTTGGGCTGCAGGGGCCGCACGCCTGTGCGGCGACACACGGTCCCTCGGCTCAGGCTGTGGCTCCCCTGGACCTTGTTGGCGATGACCCAGACCTGGAATGCAGACCTGCTGAAGGCCCGGTCCGGACGGGGTGGCACCGTGGGGACGGCAGCAGGGAGGCCAGAGCAGGAACCCGAGCCCCCGAAGCCCCCGAGCCCAGAGCAAGCGTCTGCCCTCTGTCCCCGGGGACACCCAGACCTGGTCCAGGGGCCCCACAGACACTCGGCGCACGTTGTTGGACACGTGCTCCCAGCTGGAGCCCTGCGGGTAGCTGGGCGTCACCCCCTGGCGGTACCACAGGTTGCCTGCGGAGAGAAGGGCATGGCCTGCGGTGAGGCCCGGGCTGGGGACGCCCGGCGGGTCTGCAGAGCCGCTGGTCGGGCGCCCGCCGCCCACACGTGCTGGGGCTTCCCGGCCCCCAGCGGGAGCAGGGCCTGGGCAGGGGCGGGGGCGCTCTGCCTTCGCCCCCGTCAGTGCCGCCGGCGCCGCCGGACTGGGTGGGGCTGGCACCTTCATCTTCTTTCTACGCCTGAGAAACTGAGAACAAGGAATTCTTCACACAAACAGAGGACGGGTCTGGAAGCGGAGCCCTGGGTCCCCGTCCAGTGCCTGCCCTTTCCTCACCCTGCTCAGTGGGGACAACGGCCCAACAGGAAAGGGAGCTGCCGGAGGCAGCGCCATGCGGGCACCTCCAGCCCCAGGCTGTCTGCCGAGGGCCCCCCGGCCACGGGCCTGGGTGGCACCTCTGGAAGGTGCTCCCAGCGCAGGCCCCGCTGCACAGTGTGACCCAGGCCTTGGCACTGTGCCCTCTGCCCCAGACCCAGGCAGGGCTGACCACCTGTGGGGGTGGGTGTTCCCTCCCTGGGGACACGGGGGAGGGGCCTACTTGGAGGCTGACCTCAGGCTGGGTGGCCTCTCATGGCGGCTTATGAAGGTCTCAGGCCTGGGACCTGGGGGCCATCGGGTGCTCAGGGAACCCAAACCCCCCCTGGTGGCCCCGGGGGGCAGGCGCGACTTGCCGTTCTCGTCCACAGCGTACACGGACGTCTGGCCCACGGACGCCTGCTTTAACCTCTGCTTGGGAGGAGACGGGATGTGGTACCAGCAGTTGCCTGAAATGGGAGGTTGGACTTGGATGCGGCTGGGAAACCCCAAACAACGTGCGACCCCAGGCACTGGGGAGCGCAGCGCTTCAGCTCACAGGGTGGCCGGCTGCGCGTGCCCTGCCGCCCTCCGGCACCCTGGCCTCTCCCAAGGCCCAAAAGAAGCCGTGGCAGGTTCCAGGGTGTGGGGCTGGAGGGGCCGATCTCAGGATCGGGGGCACGAAGGAGCCGCCAGCTGGTGCTGGAGAGCCAGCCCTGCGGCCGCTGTGCGCACCCCATGCGGGGCACACGACGCACCAGCCACCACCGATTCGCCCGTCTGTCCCTGTGCCAGCCTCCCCGACGCCAGACACTGCCTAGACCTCCCGCCAAGAACAAGCTGGCCTGGCCTGCCCTCCGGGGAATGGCCGGAGTGGCCAGTGTAGAGTGAGCGGCGTGGGGCCACCCCAGCAGGCGCCCGACAGGCCTGTCCCCTGATGGGCAGGACATGCGAAGTGCCCGCCCCCCCCCCCGCTGCCCTGGCAGGAGGCTGAGGGCGACGGAGGGCAGCTATGCGGGGTGGGGCAGCGGCGCCCGCCAGGGCCCAGAGGGAGGCGGTGTGGCCTCTGGGGATCCCGGCTGGGCCCCCGGCACCTGGTCCACAGGCCGCTTTCAGTAAATGCTTCTCGAGCCGAACTGAAAATCAGGAGACCTGTCAACCAGCGTCCCCTGCAGGTGGAAGCACGTGCAGCCTCGCTCTGACCAGTCCCATTCCCACCACGGCTTGGTGGCCCCGGGTAGGGGGCCGCCCGCGGGGTTGCACTCACCAGCCGGCTGGGAAAGGGACACGGAGCCCCTGTAGAAGGCAGAGCCATCCCTCGCCACGGCCCACACCTGGTAGCAGCCCCCGATGGAGACTGAGGCGAAGGGCTGGTCGGTGCCCACGTGCAGCCAGGAGGAGCCCTGGAGACCGAGTGAGAAGGGACGCTGAGCGCTGCCTGGGCCCGGCCTCGGCCAGCCCAGCCCCGTGGCCCAGGAGCTGGCGGCTCCTCACACCCCCGTCCCCTCAGCTGCCCAGGGCCTGGCAGCCCGCGGGCAGGCCCAGGTTGGCCCGAGCCTAGCCCGATGCCACAGCGAGTCCTGCTTCTGGAAGAATCTGTCAAAAACTCGAGAGTAACCACAGGGTGAGCAGGCCCGGTGGTCCCCAGAGGCTGGGAGGAGGGCGCTCACCGTGGGGTTGAGCTCGGACACACCCAGGCGGCAGAGCACGTCCCCCTTGTCACTGATGGCCCAGAGAGCGATGCTGTGCCCGCTCCCGTCAGCGCCTGGGCTCTCGGGGATGATGGACACGTCCCGGAGGGCAATGGGGGCCACCTCCAGCCAGGGCCCGCTGGTCACCAGCTTGCATTTTCTGTAGCGGGGAGAGAGCACAGCCCTGGGCACCCCGAGGCTACACCGGCCTCGGCCCCCTGCCCTGGCGCACGGAGGCCGCGGGGGGGCTGCCGCCAGGGCGCCCCTCTGCCCAAGGCAGCCTCGGTGGACGCTGGGGAGGCCAGGACGCCCCCCGCCCCGGCCCCTGGGTGAGCACCCCTTCCTGGTGGCGGCTCCGCCCCCCACTGCCGCCCCCAGCCAGGCCTCCCGTCCAGCCGGTCCTGCGACAAGCGGAGGCTGACAGGACATTTCTCGTATTTGTTCTTGAAAGAAAACTCTTCAGCGACCAGAGAGGCCAGGTGCCTGCGGCACTTCCTGGGCTGACATTTACTTTGATTCCTTTTCCCCTCCCCTCTGCCTCCCCTTCCTTCCACTGGGACTGAGGTCAGAGGCCAGGAGGTCTGGCCTGGGAGGAACGAGTAGGAGGGGCCAGGCCACACCCCCCAGTTACCTTGTGCTCAGTCTTTACCTGGCCCAGCACCTTCTCCGGACAAAATCCCTCATGGTTTTGTACCCATGATATGAGCTGCAAGAGGAAGAAGTTGAACTCGAGA